CAATTTCAGAAAGATCCATACACTTACACACTAGTTATTGTCATGAAACTAGAAAAATGCTTGTTTTTTGCCCCTTTTTTGGCCCCTAATTCCTAATATTTTGAGGCAATTACCCCCAAAATCAATCCCAGCATTCCCTGTGTGATATGGAACCTTGTGGTACAATGTCAGAGAGATTCATACACTAACACACAAGTTATGTCTGGAAGTTACAAAAATGCTTATTTTTGGCCCCTTTTTGGCCCCTAATTCCTTAACTGTTGGTACCATAACCCCCAAAATCAATCCCCACCTTCCTTTTGTGGTATTGAACCTTATGGTAAAATTTCATAGAGATCCATTTACTTAAACTAAAGTTAGAGTGCGAAAACCAATGTGTCTTCGGACGACGACGACGACGTCAACGTCATACCAATATACGACCGCAAAAATTTTTTGCGGTCCTATAAAAATGGTACCAAAAATTCCAGTTCTTTCCTGTTACCAAAGTGAATCAATTTAAAAAGTTTCTAATGGGAATAAAAAATAAGTTGAAGATACTTTATCTGGTTAACTAGTATATCATACAATATTTTATCAAATGCCAATTATTTATTTTAGCATTAACAATACAAAAGGTTAAGAAATATACTAAAATAAAGTCCGATATGTCGGTAACATGAAAGAATCATGAGTAACAGGACAGAGTTGGTAACAGGAAGGAATTATTTTTTCAAAACAATTCATTTATTTCATAGTTTATGAAAAATACATCATTACAAATTGGTCATTTATCTTTTAAAACTTTATTTGCAAGATGAAAAATCTGCCTAGGTAATGAAAAATTCAAAAATAAATTCCTTTCTGTTACCCTCTACTATACTATAATTGCACAATGTTCTCTGCTGTTATCAAAAGTCAAAAACCTGTCTTTTCATTCAAAATACTGTATATTATGTTGAGATTTATTTAATGAATTGTGTGGAAGTTTACTTCCATCTACATATCAATTTAATAAGATACTATAAAAACACATTTAATGTTATAGTGCTGACAATCAAATATTCTCAGAAGGTACACAAAAAGGCTGTAACAGGAGAGAACAACAAAATTATTGTTCACTAAATTCTTATCTTGGTGAGCTCGAAATTTTCAAACTGGATGCCATTCAAACTTTACGTGTGGAGTCATACATTTAGGAAATGATGCTCTTCTCATTAGTTATAATAAAAACAGACCAGTAAAGGACAAGTTTCTTATATGATCTATCATATTTGTGAAAATCGGAAGCCTATTTACTTAATTTGGATATTCTTTGAATGATTTAGTTGTCAGAAAACAACACGGGACAACATGATTTTTTGGGGGGTTGAACATTCAAATTATAATATTTTATTGGAAGAAATATAAGAAGGAGTGTTTAATTGGCAATAGTTGGTGCAATATATACTCTAGTTAATACTGAAACTTAAAATTTTCCAAAAAGATAGTTGAATAGAAAAATAATTGCCGGTAAAAGATGGAACCAGGAAATTAGACTTTTTGAGATATTGTCTCATATATATTTTTTATTTTCTAAATTACTATTGAAGAATATTTGTAAACTAGACATGTTCTTGTGTAAACATGTTAAAGTAGTCAAATTTTGAAAACATTCTTAATCTAACACCGCCACATTTTGTATGTGCCTTTCCCAAGTCGGGAGCCTTTAATTTAGTGGTTGTCTTTTGTTACAGTATATCATATTTAATTCATTTGTTGTTTTGTACATAATTCAGGCCATTTGTTTTTTCATTTGAATTGTTTTTACTTTTTTTTTTAATGTCAGGACCTTTAATAGCTTGCTATGAAGTATGGATTTTGGTCATTGTTGAAGGAGGTTTGGTGACCTATAATGCTTAATTCTTCATCATTTGATTGTCAAATTGGCATTTATTCCACATCTCCTTATTTTATATATAAATATAAAACAACCATATGAAACATTATTTTAATGAATCAACCATACTATTATAAAAAAAAATTTCACAGCTTTAAAACACAACAGCATTAGGCTTAATTTGATGTATTACAATAAACAATGAAAAAAAAATGCAATAACTAGGTGGGTTCTTAAAAGAGTCATATTTTCACAGTGAAAAAGAGCATACAATTCTAGAGAAAATGCATAAAGCCAATACAAAAATCCTGTCTGCTCACTTTGCTGTCAAGTTCTAATATTTATGATTGTACAATATTTAATATAAATTGGACAATGAGGAGATAACTCATCCAGAACAGCAGATGTGCTTACCTCTATAAATCCTCAATACTTTGTGCAGTATAAAAAGCATATATTTATATAAACAAATAATATATATACAAATATATATATACAAAATTTAAAATTTCATTTATTACTCTCACTGATTGCAACCTGTAGCAGAAATCATAATCTGTAATTAATCTATTGTAATTCATCCCTTTTTTTCAAGAAATATACAGTAATCTGTAATTGTCATAATTTTCGATTTACATGTTCATAGTGTAATTTAATCAATAATCTAAAGATGATCAAGTTCCCAAGTCCCGAAAAATGTGAAAAAATTCCTAAAACAGTTCCAAAATAGCAGGTGCACAACTTCAAAATATGTGCAATCTTCCTTTGAAGCATTGGGATCTAGAATGACACAATTTAGGAACCTACTTTTCCCTTCCCGCCCACCTGCTTATCTGCTCGACATCACCATACTATAAGTCAGTTTTGGATTTTGTCCAACCTGGCCAAAAAGAATATAAAGTGCTGTAAACAATGCACCAAAGCATTTAAATTCTTGTTCAGTAATAGATGCATGTATCCCATTTATTTTGTAGCATATAATTGACAGTAATCGAAAAAAAAACAAAAAAAAAACAAAAGCAATGATATTACCTTGATCAAGTAATCTATTGTTATTAATTAATTACAAAAATGAAATACTCCGTCAGAGGCAGGTTGATATGACAGCAGAGGTCAAACGCTGAACAGTTGGGGCAAGTATGGACACTACATTCAAGCTTTATACAGCTCTGAATTTGGATTGTGATTAAATATCTGACACAGCATGGTTTCTGACACAGAATGAATGTGGTCAAAGAACTGCAAAAAATTGAAATTACGGTCCAATATCCAAAATCTTAATACATGGTTAGATTCAGCATATCCAAGAACGCGGTACACCAAGAATTTAATTTATTTTATTTATTTATGGACAATAATAGCTTAGTATTAAAGGGGTTTGCATCATCAAAAAAAAATATATTTAGAATCTGAAAATTAATTTATACAGAATAACAAACAAACCTACCACAAAGTTCTTCAAAAAAGATTACCAAAAAAAAAAAAGAAAAAAAAACAATTATCGAAATATCATTCCTCATTAATACAAAGTTTTTAAAAAATATATATAAAAATTACCTCTAATTATTTTTCAAAAAATCTAATCATGAACAATAAATTTCAAACTACATCTATACATAATTTCTTCTCTAAAATTATATTTGATGCTGTATCTATTTTTAACTATGACTCAACTTACAATTTCTATTAATTGTGCAATATAACTCTGAATTTGGATTCTGATTAAATAATTAACATAGCAGTTTCTGACACAGAATGAATGTGGTCCAAGTACTGAAATAATTTGAAATTAGTCATTAACATATTATGGTCCATAATCCAAATCTAAATAGATGATCAGAATCACCATATCAAAGAACCCCCAAGACCTTTTTTTTTAAGAAATCAAACAAAGTTTAATTTTGGACCATTTGGACCTCAATATTGACCAATTTGATAAAGGGGCCCAAAATCTAAATACATGGTTAGATTTAGCATATCAAATAACCCCATATATTCAATTTTTGTTGAAATCAAACAAAGTTTAATTTTGGACCCCGATTTGGACCAACTCAAAAAGGGGCCCAAATTCCAAAATCTAAATACATTGTTAGATTCAGCATATCAAAGAACCACAAGAATTCAAGACTTTGAATTAAACCACATTGAAACTGGTCAACAAATAAGCAATTTATACAAAGTATTAGAAAAGTATTGTTATTGGCCCCTTTTTCCTAAACAGTTAGACCCTCAAAAAAATCCCAACCTTCCTTTTTTGGTATAGAACCTAGTGGTACAATTTCATAGAGATCCATAGACTTAATACTGAAGTAATTGTCTTGAAACCAGAAAATCTTATTTTTTGGCCCCCAATTAATAAATGATTTAGGCCATAACCCCTAAAATCAATCCCAACCTCCCTTTTTGAGGTATGGAACCTTGTGGTTCAATTTCATAGAGATCCATACACTTATACACAAGTTATTGTCCTGAAACAAGAAAAATGCTTGTTTTTGGCCCCTCATTCCTTTACTTATAACTATACGACAGCAAAATTTTTGCAGTCATATAATCATAGTAATGGATTATTTAGCCAAACCATGCCCCTCAATGATATGAACATGGAGCTTTGGAATTACGTAAGTTTCTGCATGATAAATGTGTATTTCATCCATTTCTGTCCAACGATAAGAATGAAGAGACCTTATATTTGACCTCAACAGATTTAAATCATTATAATCTGATCTAAACTCATAAATCTTAATTTTGTTATTCGGAAGTCCACAAAAATTTTGAAGTACTTTCTTCAAATCTTTGACAGTTTGATCTTTTAAAATGTCCATCATTTCTTCTTTATCTTCATATTTGACCTTGATGTGATAATAAAGGTCAGGGGACAAATCAACATCCACAAGGTGTTTTAATTTTCCATGAATTTCCTCCAATTCATAAAATCTACAAAAATAAAACTTAATTTTAAAAAGATTGATATGTATAAATTTTAATTAACTAATCTATATGAAATGTTTCAAAGGAGATGAAACTGTTAATGGAAGACAATTGTGTAAACAGAATGCATTTTGAGCTGGTACCCTATCTGAAATAGAATTACTATTTGCTCTCTGTCTTTTAAATTTAAGAACTGATTTAAAGAAAATTAAACAAGGAATGTACTATGATTTATTCAAATAAATGTGGATAGTGTCATAACATTTGGTTGAGGCTAACTTAAGTAGAGAACAGAAACTAAAAATTCAGCAATTTTTTTATTTGTAAACAAGCATAACTCTAGAATGGTTGTGTATAAGTTTTATAACATTTGGTTGAGACAAACTAAAGTTAGAGAACAGAAACGAAAAATTCAGCAATTTTTATGCTTATTAATGGACATAACTCAAGAATGGTAAAACTGTCGCCACCAAATTTCGTACTTAATCTGTATTATGTAGTAATAAGCATTGTGTATAAGTTTCATAACATTTGGTTGAGGCAAACTAAAGTTAGAAAACAGAAACAAAAATTTGTACTTGATCTTAGTTTTGTGGTAATGAATATTGTGTATAGGTTTCATAATGTTTGTTTGGGGCAAACTTAAGTTACAGAATGGAAACTAGAAATTTTGCAATCTTTCGATTTATAAAGGTGCATAACTCAATAATGGCTAAAGTGACACTTCCTAAATTCAACTTGATCTGTGTTTTATCAGTGGAAGTCAAAATTGAACATTGCATTGTATAAAGCATTGATTGTAGTTGATTCAACTATAATCATGGACAAAGGAAGATAACTCCAATTTTAAAAATTACTTGATATTTAAAAGAAAATAAAAATTTTGCAATTTTTCCATTTATAAACAGGCATAACTCTAGAACGGTTAAAGTGACGCCACCAAAATTCAAACTTGATCTGTGTTTTGTGGTTATAAGCATTGTGTATAAGTTTTATAACATTTGGTTGAGGCAAACTTCAGTTAGAGAACGGAAACCAACTTTGGGACATACGAACAGACGGATAAGGGTAAAACTTAATGCCCCATACGCTACAGTGGGGGCATAAAAATGATAATGCTAAAGCAGTATTGGTTGCATGTCAATAATTCAACCTTATTTAAATCCGTATTTATGCAACCTTCTATTTTACTCTCATCTAGAGATGGATAATGCATGTGCTAACTAACTGCTAAGCATGTTCTTTTGTTAAAAAGAAAAGAATGTCAACATTGAAAAGTGAAACAAGAAAGCCACTGGGAAGAATAATTTTGTTGACTGATTTGACCCACAAAAAATCATTCTTTATACAGGTAAAAACAAAGATTTACATATTTTTCTAATCTATGACATGAAATCAAACAGAGCCAGAAAAATAGGCATTAAACATTCATATGTGTATTTAGATTAATATTTATGCTTATATCAGGTCAGATGACCATAGGCATTCCTTGGTGGTCATCATGATGGTTAATCAAATGGTGTCTTGTCTAAAATACAAACAAAATGCTAATACATTATAATGAGTCCATTCATTGTTAATTGTTTCTTTAGAACAATTTGTAATTTGGATATATCTTTTAGTATGTTATAAATCAAATATGAAATGCCTCTTTAATCTTGAGCTAAAAATAACTAATTTATTCCTTTTATTGTGAACTGTTATTGAAGAATATTCTACTTGACATGATCTTGTATTTCAATTGTATCAAACATGCTATTACCCTGTTAGGGAAGCTATTGAAAAAAAAAAATGTGGATTGCGTCTACATGTGGACACAGATGATGCCCCCGCTTGCATATCATATAGTTATAAAGGGAAATAACTGAAGAACGGTAAAAGTGACGCTACCCAAATTTGAACTTGATCTGAGTTTTGTGGTAATAAGCATTGTGTGTAAGTCTCATAACATTTGGTTGAGGCTAACTTAAGTAGAAAACAGAAACTAAGAATTCAGCAATTTTTCTATTTGTAAACACACATAACTCTAGAACGGTTGTGTATAAGTTTTATAACATTTGGTTGAGACAAACTAAAATTAGAGAACCGAAACGAAAAATTCAGCAATTTTTATGTTTATAAAGGACATAACTCAAGAATGGCAAAAGTGACGCCACCAAATTTCGTACTTAATCTGTATTATGTAGTAATAAGCATTGTGTATAAGTTTCATAACATTTGGTTGAGGCAAACTAAAGTTAGAGAACGGAAACAAAAAAAATGTACATTATCTTAGTTTTGAGGGAATGAATATTGTGTATAGGTTTCATAATGTTTGGTTGGGGCAAGCTTAAGTTACAGAATGGAAACTAAAAATTTTGCAATCTTTCGATTTATAAAGGGGCATAACTCAATAATGGTTAAAGTGACACTACCCATATTCAACTTGATCTGTGTTTTATCAGTGGAAGGCAAAATTAAACATTGCATTGTATAAAGCATCGATTGTAGTTGATTCAACTATAATCATGGACAAAGGAAGATAACTCCAATTTTAAAAATTACTTGAATAATGACATTGATATTTTTTGAAATTACATTTAGTTAAGACAAACTCAAGTTAGAGAACGGAAACAAAAAATTCAGCAATTTTTTCGTTTGTAAAGGGGCATCACCCTAGAACGGTAATCAAAGTGCTTGTAAGCACTGAATGGTAAAGATTGCTTTAATTTATCAGTAGGAAGTAAAATTGAATATTGCATTGTATAAAGCATTGGTTGTAGTTTATCCATTATGCACAAAGAAAGATAACTCCAATTTTCAAAGAAGACTTTAAAATATTTTTAGAAATGAAGGGTAAAAATTGCTTTAATTTATCAGTGGAAGGCAAAATTAAACATTGCATTGTATAAAGCATTGATTGTAGTTGATTCAACTATAATCATGGACAAAGGAAGATAACTCTAATTTTAAAAATGACTTGATATTTAGAAAAAAAAAAGAAAAATTTAGCAATTTTTCCATTTGTAAAGGGCACAACTCTAGAACAGTAAAAGTGACGGCACCAAAAATTCAAACTTGATCTGTATATTGTGGTAATAAGCATTGTGTATAAGTTTCATAACATTTGGTTGAGGCAAACTTAAGTAAGAGAACAGAAATGAAAAATTTAGCAATTTTTCCATTTGTAAAGGAGCATAACTCTAGAACGATAAAAGTGACGCCATCAAAATTCAAACTTGATCTGTATTAAGTGGTAATAAGCATTGTGTATAAGTTTCATTACATTTGGTTGGGGCAAACTAAAGTTAGAGAAAGGAAACCAACTTTGGGACGTATGTACGGACGGACAGACGGACAAGGGTAAAACTTAATGCCCCCTCCGCTACTTCGGGGGCATAAAAAAACATTTCACAGCTTGAAAGCACTATCATATAATAACATTATGCTTAAATTGATATTTTCAGTATATTTTTCATTTAACTTTCATATAATATATTCACCAAAATGAAGTCAATGAAGTCAGTAAGCTTAAAATTGTTTTTTTTCTTTTATATCCTTCAAACATTAAACTTTGAAATTTACTTGGCAGCAACATATAGGTTTCTAAGGTAATTCAATAATACAATACAAAGTCTATCACATGTTTGGATCTAACAGTATAACAAGTTTCATGATAACACAATAAACTATGTAAAAGTTTCAATGATTTTGTTGGGTTTTTAAAAGAGTCATAATTTCACAGTGGAAGGGAGCATACAATTCTAGATAAAATACATAAAGCCGTTAATCCTGCATGTTGTCAAGTTTGCACAAAATTTAATATAAATTGGACAAGGGGAGAGAACTTGTCCAGACAGACAGATAGGCATACTGATCATATATTCTCAGTAAAAACGCATATACATATATATTGGAATACAACCATAAACTTCATTCTTTTTTTTCTTTTTTTTCCACAATTTCGTAATCTCCCTTTGAAATAACTTTTGTTTTTACATCATAAATGTGTATTTCATCCAGTTCTGTAAAACGATAAGAATGAAGTGACCTTATATCTGATCTCATTAGATATAAATTTTCATAATCTGATTTAAACTCAAAAATCTTCATTTTGTCACTCGCAAGTCCACAAAAATTTTGAAGTTCTTTCTTCAAATCTTTGACTGTTTGATCTTTTAAAATGTCCATCATTTCTTCTTTATTTCCATATTTGACCTTGATGTGATAATAAAGGTCGTCGGGTGACAAATCAATATCCGCAAGGTGTTCTACTTTCCCATGAATTTTCTCCAATTCATAAAATCTACAAAAATAAAACTTACTTTTTCAAGGAGTGCTAATATGAAATTTAATTAACTAATTTTCATGAAAATGTTTCAAAGGAGATGAAACTATAAATGGATGACAAAAGTGTAAATAGAATGCATTTTGTGCTAGTACCATACAATACATGTATGTTGATATATGGTTAATAATCTCATCACTTGAAATAAAATTGCTATTTGCTCTCTGTCTTATAAATAAAATAAAATGCTCCGCTGGGCGCAGCTTGATACAACCGCAGAGGTCGAACCATAAACAGTTGGGGCAAGTATGGACACAACATTCAAGCTTGATACAGCACTGAATTTGGATTGTGATTAAATATTTGACACAGCATAGGTTTCTGTCACAGAATGAATGTGGTCTAAGAACTTAAAAAATTTTAATTTACCTATTCAAACCATATCATTATTATTTGCTTTTATATATAAATCAGAAATAACCCATTTATAAAATGGAAAATTTTAAAGAAAAAAAAATCCCTCCCCTAAATTTTTTGAACCACCTTATGATTCATCACCCCCAAACTCAGTCCCAGCCTTCCCTTTGTGGTATGGTACCTTGCAGTACAATTTCAGAGAGATCCATACACTTGAACACAAGTTATTGTCTGGAAACTAGAAAAATGCTTGTTTTTAGGCCCCTTTTTGGCCCCAAATTCCTAAACATTTAGGGCAATTACTCCCAAACTCAAACCCCGCTTTCCTCTTGTGATATGGAACCTTGTAGTACAATTTCATAAAGATCCATACACTCACACACAAGTTATTGTCCTGAAACTAGAAAAATGCTTGTTTTTTTCCCCTTTTTGGCCCCTTATTCTAAAATTTTGAGGCAATTACCCCCAAAATCAATCCCAGCCTTCCCTTTGTGGTATGGTACCTTGCAGTACAATTTCAGAGAGATCCATACACTTGAACACAAGTAATTGTCTGGAAACTAGAAAAATGCTATTTTTGGCCCCTTTTTCCTAAACGTTTTGGGCAATTACCCCCAAACTCAATCCCAGCCTTCCCTTTGTGGTATGGTACCTTGCAGTACAATTTCAGAGAGATCCATAAACTTGAACACAAGTCATTGTCTGGAAACTAGAAAAATGCTATTTTTGGCCCTTTTTTGGCCCCAAATTCCTAAAATTTTGAGGCAATTACCACCAAAATCAATCCCAGCATTCCCTTTGTGATATGGAACCTTGTGGTACAATGTCAGAGAGATCCATACACTAACACACAAGTTATGTCTGGAAGTTATAAAAATGCTTATTTTTGGCCCCTTTTTGGCCCCTAATTCCTTTACTGTTGGTACCATAACCCCCAAAATCAATCCCAACCTTCCTTTTGTGGTATTGAACCTTATTGTAAAATTTCATGGAGATCCATTCACTTAAACTAAAGTTAGAGTGCGAAAACCAATGTGTCTTTGGACGACGACGACGACAACGATGACGACGACGACAACGATGACGACGCCAACGTCATACCAATATACTACCAAAAAATTTTTAATTTTTGCGGTCGTATAAAAATTGAATCAAAGACGAGAAAATTAAAGAAGGAAAGTGAACTGATTACATACACCAAATATAGTAGACCTATTGCTTATAGTATCTCAGATATGGACTTGACCACGAAAACTTAACCTTGTTCACTGATCCATGAAATGAGGTCAAGGTCAAGTGAAAACTGTCTGAGAGGCATGAGGACCTTGCAAGGTAGGCACATACCAAATATAGTTATCCTATTACTCATAATAAGAGAGAAATCAACATTACAAAAAATATTAACTTTTTTTCAAGTAGTCACTGAACCATGAAAATGAGGTCAAGGACAATAGACATATGACAGACGGAAACTTCATATCATAAGGCATTTATATACAAAGTATGAAAAATCCAGGTCTTCTACCTTCTGAAATATTAAGTTTTTAAGAAGTAAGTTAACGCCGCCGCCGGATCACTGTCCCTATGTCGAGCTTTCTTCAACAAAAGTCGCAGGCTCGACAAAAACAAAGATTTACATATTTTATAAATCATTGACATGAAATCAAACAGACCCAAAAAAATAGGCATTAAACAATTTCATATGTGTATTTAGATTAATATTTGTGCTTATATCAGGTCAGATGACCATAGGCATTCCTTGGTGGTCATCATGATGGTTAATCAAATGGTGTCACGTCTAAAATACAAACAAAATGCTAATACATTATAATGAGTCCATTCATTGATAATTGTTTCTGTAGAACTTTTTGTAATTTGGATATATCTTTTAGTATGTTATAAATCAAATATGAAATGCCTCTTTAATCTTGAGCTAAAAATAACAAATTAATCTCTTTTATTGTGAACTGTTATTGAAGAATATTCTACTTGACATGATCTTGTATTTCAATTGTATCAAACATGCTATTACCCTGTTAGGGAAACATTTTTCAGCTTGAAAGCACTATCATATAATAACATTATGCTTAAATTGATATTTTCAGTATATTTTTCATTCAACTTTTATATAATATATTCACCAAAATGAAGTCAATGAAGTCAGTAAGCTTAAAATTATTTTTGTTCTTTTATATTCTTCAACTATTAAACTTTGAAATTTATTTGGCAGCAACATATAGGTTTCTAAGAAAACTCAATAATAATAAGTTTCATGATAACACAATAAACTATGTAAAAGTTTCAATGATTTTGTTGGGTTTTTAAAAGAGTCAAAATTTCACAGTGGAAGGGAGCATACAATTCTAGATAAAAAATTAAAGCCGTTAATCCTGCTTGTTGTCAAGTTTGCACAAAATTTAATATAAATTGGACAAGGGGAGAGAACTTGTCCAGACAGACAGATAGGCATACTGATCATATATTCTCAGTAAACATATATACTGGAATACAACCTTAAAGTTCATAAATGTGTATTTCATCCAGTTCTGTAAAACGATACGAATGAAGTGACCTTATATCTGATCTCATTAGATGTAAATTATTATCATGATAATAATCTGATTTAAACTCAAAAATCTTCATTTTGTCACTCGCGATTCCACAAAAATTTTGAAGTACTTTCTTCAAATCTTTGACAGTTTGATCTTTTAAAATGTCCATCATTTCTTCTTTATTTTCATATTTGACCTTGATGTGATAATAAAGGTCGTCGGGTGTCAAATCAATATCCGCAAGGTGTTCTACTTTCCCATGAATTTTCTCCAATTCATAAAATCTACAAAAATAAAACTTACTTTTTCAAGGAGTGCTAATATGAAATTTAATTAACTAATTTTCATGAAAATGTTTCAAAGGAGATGAAACTATAAATGGATGACAAAAGTGTAAATAGAATGCATTTTGTGCTAGTACCATACAATACATGTATGTTGATATATGGTTAATAATCTCATCACTTGAAATAAAATTGCTACTGTGTATTCATTTATTTTCGTGGGTATCAATTTTCGTGGATAGAGAAAAAAAGATGTTTCGTGGTATACGTAAATTCATGGATCGCTGATTACAAAAAAAAAAATTCAGATACGTAATTCGTGGATTTCTTTTTGATTTAGGTGATCATATAACATCCTTGGTTTGATCAATAATAAAACAAACAAAAAAGCAGGAATTCATTGAAAAAGTTTTGAATTGTCAAAATCCTCGCTTGGTCATTCTAGGTTAAAAATTTCTTTGAAAACTTCTATTACAATAATGGACAGAGACAACTCTAATTATTTGTTTGTTTTACAATTTATAAATACTTGTCGGAATTTTATAAGGCATTCCAAACTCTATGATTGAAAGCTCATTTCCCTAATCACGATATAATAAACAGTCATATAAGTAAAAGGTGTGAAAATAAATGTTCCTGTCATAAACAATATTACCTAGGGCAATATCCCAATACTTAATCCTATTGATTTTTTATCACCAGTAAACCAAACTATGACACAGTAATTAACAACTTGCAGTTATTTTCCATAAACAGTTTTAATCAATTTTAAAAAGTAAATGATCACTGATATTCGATATATTTATTATTGATTTAATCAAAATACTTGTATCTTCTTTCAATAAAAACACGTGTTATGTTACAATGTTTATCGCTAGTCAACACTATACTAGAACTGCATAACATAACCAGAAATAAACATCCGACCCCATACACATTTCTCGGGATTATTCTTCGTTGAATTCTTAAATTCGTGGTTCACTGTGACCCACGAAACCCACGAAAATTGGTATACCACGAATAAAAATGAATCCACAGTATTTGCTCTCTATCTTATAAATAAAAAAATTGAATCAAAGACGAGAAAATTAAAGAAGGAAAGTGAACTGATTCCAATGGAATTAAGAAATTACAAATACAACAACAAAGCATGTGTTGTTGTGTCCCTACACGTGTCCTCACTCGTAATTCTATGTAAAATCAGATCAGGAAGTAGGTGTCTGACAGATCCTCACACTTCATAGTCAAGCTGCTGACTAAATATCAAGTCATTCTATTCAGTAGTACTTGAGAAAATTGTTGGAGGAATAAACAGACAGGTGAACCAACAGAACAGACAGATGGATGCAATACAGCCCCTCATCCAAGTGTTGGGGTTAAAAAAAATATAAGATATTCTTACATGATTTCATTCTTATCTGTCCTCGAAGATATAATAATTTAAGTTGAATACTAGATATACAGTGCTGTCAAGTAATGCAATGCACCTAAAGCTTTGAGTTATTTTGCATGTTCAAGGATTAAACCAGGACAAATCTTTTTTCAGAACTAATGAGTCGGCCACAGACCACAATTAATTCCATTATTAGTTCTTTATAACGTTTTGTCGCATTAAAAAAAATTTACCTGCTTTTTTTGTCAAATCTTTTGTGTGTGTAATGTACAGTACAAGTCCAAAAATATATCCAACTTTCAGAAAAATTGCATGTGTACATCTTACAAATTTAGCCAATACACATCCATACCCCTATAGACAAGTCAAGAGATGTTCCGAAAACTGTAAATATTACCTTTTTGCACCTAGCCTAATCACTCTTTCCATATCAAAATCAGTTAAAATAAAACATCCAAAAATTTATTTCAGCTCTCTTCTTTCATTTCCACCCCATAAAAAGTAAGAAATGTATGAGAAAGGGAAAGAAAAAAAATAAAGAAAAAATACACTTTAATTAAAGGGAACTATATTTGTGGACAACGAAAAGGGGGATCATTAATTGTGGTATGGGGCCTTTTAGGGGTCAAAAACTTGACCAATTCCAATAAAACTTGGCATGATTTAAGCTTAGTGTATTATGAGACAGTTTACCCAGTTTCAAAGCCATATGATATCAATTATAGAAAATGTAGCCTTTGGTTGCTGAATTGTGACGTTGAAATAGAACAATTTTAACTATCAAAGTTTGGCTTAAAAAAACAAACAAAAAACAAAAATGTGCACTTTTTAATGTCTCTATGTATAAGATATTATCTATTTAAAGTAATAGATAGCATACTGAATGTATCAGACTTATGAAAATCGGCAAAAAGTTAATTTTATATGAGCCTGTGCCAAAAAATAGAGGTTTTCAAATGAAGCGAGGCCTTATATGAAATGTAATATTTTCCACTTACAATTTTCTGAAGTTGTTAAGTTAAAAAAAAACCTTCTACATATCATAAATGTACTTTTCATGGAAATATAAGTTTCAAACTGCATAACACATGAGGATGACATGGTCTTAAGCAATGTCAAGCTTAAAAAAACAAGTTGTCAATTTAGGCCGTTCCCCATATTTCCATAATAAAAAGCATATAAATGATATGGGAAATGGAAATATGCTTCTTTTTGCTCAAATCCTTGCTTAGATATGATGAAACACGAAGCCTGGATGTAACAAAACTATATATGTAGGCAGTATGGTCTGATGCAAAGTTTATTCACTTTACTGTTTAAAAGATGCATGAAATTTCAGCCTCAAAAGGCCAATATTTTAACCACTAGCTATCCAACAGAAGAAATTAAAGGTAGTCTGTAAAACAGACAAGGTAAAACAACCAGTAATAAGTGCTTTTGATACAGATTCAGTGAAATTTGTTTAAAGGAATTCAACTTTTATGTGCATAGAACCTCACATTTCACTTGCTTCGTACGGGCTGTTAGACTTTGACCATTAAAACAGCACATTTTGCATACTTTTTATGTATTTATCTACTTTTCTTTCTGTTCAGAGTTCCTAATTGAGTAAAACATCTAAATTAAATACCAAAAAGACAAATAGAAAATCATAAAAATCTGTCAGAGAGAAAGAAAGCATGCTACTTTTGTAAAAATATTGAGACAAGTGAAAAAGCTACATTTCGGGCATATTAGCTGAATAGTGGCTTTTTTACAAAATTTCTATCAAATAAAATTGGAAATCATTTATTCTCATGTAGTTTGACAAATTAATTCCAATAGATCATTCAGAGAAGTTGTCAAAGTACAAATTCAAAATTTGCTGAAATGCACCTCTGAGGCCACAGACCACAATTAATTCCCTTATTAGTTCTTTATAACGTTTTGTCACATTAAAAAAAAATTACCTGCTTTTTTTGTCAAATCTTTTGTGTGTGTAATGTACAGTACAAGTCCAAAAATATATCCAACTTTCAGAAAAATTGCATGTGTACATCTTACAAATTTAGCCAATACACATCCATACCCCTATAGACAATAGTCAAGAGATGATCCGAAAACTGTAAATATTACCTTTTTGCACCTGGCCTAATCACTCTTTCCATATCAAAATCAGTTAAAATAAAACATTCAAAAATTTATTTCAGCTCTCTTCTTTCATTTCCACCCCATAAAAAGTAAGAAATGTATGATCAAGGGAAAGAAAAAAAACTAGATATCATTGAGATGGGAGCCATCTCTGTGGGCCCCGCTGTGAATAATGTGTGGTAAAAAATTTGTATCTTTATCATTGGACATGGGGTTGTCAACTGAAACCGAAGTTTTTGACCTTGACCTTTGACCTAGGAAGTTGTACATAAATTATGACACACCCTCTGGTGTTTGTTTATATACATGTCAAGTATAAACTTTGAAATCATAACAGTTCTCAAGATATAGAGCGGACACGATCTTTACCATAGGACATGGGGTTGTCAACTAAAACCAAAGTTTTTGACCTTGACCTTTGACCTAGGAAGTTGTACATAAATTATGACACACCTTCTGGTGTTGGTTTATATACATGTCAAGTATAAACTTTGAAATCATAACGGTTCTCAAGATATAGAGCGGACACGATCTTTACCATAGGACATGGGGTTGTCAACTAAAACCAAAGTTTTGACCTTGACCTTTGACCTAGGAAGTTGTACATATATTATGACACACCATCTGGTGTTGGTTTATATACATGTCAAGTATAAACTTTGAAATCATAACGGTTCTCAAGATATAGAGCGGACACAATCTTTACCATAGGACATGGGGTTGTCAACTAAAACCAAAGTTTTTGACCTTGACCTTTGACCTAGGAAGTTATTCATACATTATGACACACCCTCTGGTGTTGGTTAATATACATGTCAAGTATAAACTTTGAAATCATAACGGTTCTCTAGATATAGAGCGGACACAATTTGTTACGGACGGACAGACTGATCAATATAGGGCGTCCGCCATTCGGCAGGGCCCTAATAAAGAAAAAATACACTTTAATGAAAGGAAACTATATTCGTGGACAACGAAAAGCAGGATCATTAATTGTGGTCCGGGGCCAGTCAATTCGACTTGGTGTATATCGATACATCTCTGACTTTTTACTGCCATGTATAGACACTAGATTCATAATGATAAATACACCATAACAAATGCATAATAAAATTTATTGTACCTTTTAGGTTTGGTTTCAGCATCTAGAAAGTTTCTGATAAAGGCTCTTTCTGCCTCTTCTCTCTCCTGTTCATGTACAGGACTACCATTTAACTTGGTGATGTTTGGAAGTCTGGATACAATATTTTGTCTTCTCTCTTTCTCAGATAACTTCTGCAAAAGATGAATTATCCCATATAGTTTATTCCACGGGGGGGGAGGGTCTCTTCCTTTATGAAGGTATATACATATGTGCCGCTGGAATGGGTCCCTTTTTTGATACGTCAGATATATATATGGGGTACAATTTTACCGAGAAAATATATCAATAGGTAGTAATTGACCAATTGTGATATATTTAGGTACTATCTGAGCTGATAAATATATGAATGGGTTATGATTTCGCTGTGAAATATATGTATAGGTAGGAATTTCACAATTATTCAATATATGAATGGGGGTGTTTTTTAAATCCCAGCTGCACAACTGTACCCAAAATCCAATGTTGAGACCCCCCCCCCCCCCCCCCCCCCCCCCCCCCCCCGTGGTTTATTCATATGTGTGTACTGATACAAAATTTTGCTAAAAATGTTTGGCTTACCTACTTTTATGGCAAAATGCATCAATGATCTCACAGAAATTTTTTAAGGCACAAAAATTTGTAGCACTTTACCATATTCCTGATGGACTATTGTAATTCTATCAATCACACAAAATTCTAAATGCAATATTACATTAGTGTACATTAACTCAAATGATGCTGATATAACATGTGTTAAAATTATGTGTTCAGTTCTTCTGAGCATTCCAGTGTAAACAGCTTGAGAAATGTTGATTTAAGGGCACTTTGCTACTTCTAAGGATACAGTAGGGTATGGAAAAGGCTCATAGAACAGATTAGTGTGACTAAAAAATTAATAATAGAGAAAAATAGCCCATAAAATTAAAATAAAGAGAATAATGGGGTGTAAAAATGTAAGGAATAGAGAATAATGGACCAAAAATGTAAGGAATAGAGAATAATGGACCAAAAATGTAAGGAATAGAGAATAATGGGGTGTAAAAATGTAAGGAATAGAGAATAATGGGGTGTAAAAATGTAAGGAATAGAGAATAATGGACCAAAAATGTAAGGAATAGAGAATAATGGACCAAAAATGTAAGGAATAGAGAATAATGGACCAAAAATGTAAGGAATAGAGAATAATGGACCAAAAATGTAAGGAATAGAGAATAATGGGGTGTAAAAATGTAAGGAATAGAGAATAATGGACAAAAAATGTAAGGAATAGAGAATAATGGACCAAAAATGTAAGGAATAGGGAATAATGGACCAAAAATGTAAGGAATAGAGAATAATGGACCAAAAATGTAAGGAATAGAGAATAATGGACCAAAAATGTAAGGAATAGAGAATAATGGGGTGTAAAAATGTAAGGAATAGAGAATAAAGGGGTGTAAAAATGTAAGGAATAGAGAATAATGGACCAAAAATGTAAGGAATAGAGAATAATGGACCAAAAATGTAAGGAATAGAGAATAATGGACCAAAAATGTAAGGAATAGAGAATAATGGACCAAAAATGTAAGGAATAGAGAATAATGGACCAAAAATATAAGGAATAGAGAATAATGGACCAAAAATGTAAGGAATAGAGAATAATGGACCAAAAATGTAAGGAATAGAGAATAATGGACCAAAATATAAAAAATTTAGAGATACTGCCTTACAAATTTAATAAATCAGAAATGAAGCACCCCCCATTTTCCAGACTGTCATACAGTTAGTTATGTTGGAGTAGATTCTTTGTCCACTTTTCGCTTAACCGCCTTTTTGTTGGCAGAGAGAATGTTGATTCAGCATCTTGACTTGATATGATAAACCAAGTTTTATTAGTCTAATTTTATGACTGACACTAACCTTTTTGATTGTCACAGATTTTCTGTTGTAGAAAATGTAGAAATAACTGTTTTATTTTTAAAACATGACATCTGAGAAAAATTTTATGTGTGAAGTTACACTGTACACAATTTCATATTCTGACCCAATCTATTGATTCACACTTACTTCATTTCAAGTAAATTATATTTTTTGATGTACAATGACTGCCATTCATAAATATTTGTAGTTGTGTATTCCACAGTTACCACATATATTCATTATGTTCATTGGTCTTGTAAAAATAGATTCTTATTACTGACCAATCAGAAAATTGTTTTTGTAATTCAGATTTTAATTATGTAAACCATGTCTAAATACATTGAATTTTGAATTTTTTTCCTTGATTTTCAGTCATACAACCAAAATTTAAAAAAATAAATAATTATTTTTGTTTACTTTATTTGTTTAATTTAGTTCACTAGTTGTCCAGTTTTTTCCAACTTTTGGACCCCAGAGGTCGAACCATGAACAGTTGGGGCAAGTATGGACACAACATTCAAGCTTGATACAGCACTGAATTGAATTTGGATTGTGATTAAATATTTGACACAGCATAGGTTTCTGACACAGAATGAATGTGGTCTAAGAACTTAAAAAAATTTAATTTACCTATTCAAACCATATCATTATTATTTGCTTTTATATATAAATCAGAAATAACCACTTTAAAATGGAAAATTTTAAAGAAAAATAAAAGAAAAAAAGGAAAAAAAAATCCCTCCCCATAATTTTTGGAACCCCCTTATGATTCAGCAACCCCAAACTCAATCCCAGCCTTCCCTTTGTGGTATGGTACCTTGCAGTACAATTTCAGAGAGATCCATACACTTGAACACAAGTTATTGTCTGGAAACTAGAAAAATGCTTGTTTTTAGGCCCCTTTTTGGCCCCAAATTCCTAAACGTTTAGGGCAATTACCCCCAAACTCAAACCCTGTTTTCCCTTTGTGATATGGAAACTTGTAGTACAATTTCATAAAGATCCATACACTTACACGCAAGTTATTGTCCTGAAACTAGAAAAATGCTTGTTTTTTGCCCCTTTTTGGCCCCTAATTCCTAAATTTTTTAGGCAAAAAATTACCCCCAAAATCTATCCCAGCCTTCCCTTTGTGGTATGGTACCTTGCAGTACAATTTCAGAGAGATCCACACACTTGAACACAAGTTATTGTCTGGAAACTAGAAAAATGCTTATTTTTGGACCCTTTTTGGCCCCTTCTTCCTAAACTTTTTGGGCAATTACTCCCAAACTCAATTCCAGCTTTCCCTTTGTGATATGGAACCTTGCAGTACAATTTCATAAAAATCCATACACTTACACACTAGTTATTGTCATGAAACTCGAAAAATGCTTGTTTTTTGCCCCTTTTTTGGCCCTAATTCCTAAAATTTTGAGGCAATTACCCCCAAAATCAATCCTTACATTCCCTTTGTGATATGGAATTTGGTGGTACAATGTCAGAGAGATCCATACACTAACACACAAGTTATGTCTGGAAGTTACAAAAATGCTTATTTTTGGCCCATTTTTGGCCCCTAATTCCTTAACTGTTGGTACCATAACCCCCAAAATCAATCCCAACCTTCCTTTTGTGGTATTGAACCTTATGGTAAAATTTCATAGAGATCCATTCACTTAAACTAAAGTTAGAGTGCAAAAACCAATGTGTCTTCGGACGACGAAGACGCCAACATCATACCAATATACAACCCCCAAAAATTTTTGCGGTCGTATAAAAATAACCCCGAAAAATCAGCGCATAACTTACACCAATAACAAAAAACAGATAAACTTTATTGAAAAAAGTTACCTTTATAAATGATAAATCTTTTATCCTGAGATCAACTAATGCTGGAAATTCTCTAAATATTTCAATATCTTCCCATGTTGCCAAATTGGTTTTTGATAAATTTAGTGATTTTAGGCATGGAAATGTTTCTTTCAAATCAGCATCACTCATGATGCTCGTAAATTTGGATTCCATAGCAACTAAATTTCCTAAATTAGGAAAGCACTGTCCTAAACGACACATTTCAGTCCAATCCTGGATTTTATTTTCATTGAGATATAACCTGGACAGTGGGGGAAATCTGAAATCACCATGTAAATCCACTGAACTGTATCCATTCAAACTTAGATGCAATTCTTCAACCCTTCAAATATAAAAGAAATTAATACACACAGTACATTTTCTTGAGACCCAACATACAATTAATACTTAACAATCATAAGACAATTCACATTGTTTACCTAATAGTTACCAGATATGATCTCATATTTAATCTTATACAGAGGCAACTTTTTACCAGTAAAAATACAGTTGGAAAGTGGCAAAAAAAAATTTATTAAAGTAAGAATAAATGAAGAGGAAGGGTATACTGGTTTCTTCTTACACAAAAAGTTGTACCACAAGTTTATCTTAGTTCTAAACCCATAGAGAATTGTCTATATTTCAGCAAGTTTTTGAAAGTTACAGACCTCCTTACTTTATGAGTAAGAGAAGGACATTGAACCCCTCCAAAATTGACATTTGCGTCCAATTTAAATTATTGACTTTGGGTTCATACTGCATTTCAAATCTGGGAACATAACAATAACTTGTCTAAACTTTTAAAACCTTTAAAAGGTTGAAGGAACATGTCTAAATTCAGAAATCACTTTCTAATATTTGAAACTATGGAAATCAATTGGAGTCATCAAAAATGGATTTGGAGCAGAGGCTGTAATATCACAGCTCCTGAGTGATAAAGGACAAGATATAAGACATTCAAATATCATTGAAGATAGATTGTTTTATATAAAACTTGTTTTTAAAATTAAATATGCCAGATTAACAAAACAAGGTGCATTCTAAACTAGAGGCTCTAAAGAGCCTGTGTCGCTCACCTTGGTCTATGTACATGTGCATATCAAACAAAGGACACTCTCCAATAAATTTGTAGACAAGAATAGACTTCATGACAAAAATCTCTATTTTATTTATTAGTCTGTTTAGTTTCTCTCTATCTTCTTTAGTTTTTGCTCAAAACTCAAAGAGGGTAAAAAAATCCTCATTATAGGGGAATCACTCCTATGAAGAGTGACAGTCTACTAACTATATTGGCAAAATTTGACTTTTTAATAGATCTTGCCTTGCTGATCATTTTTGTGATTTAAAATGTCTATTTATCTATTATAATTTAAATCATATGAGGCATAACGGAAAAAATGTTTCTCTCTAAATATCATAGTTTTCATGATAATAGGCAAAAATGAAAAAAAAATAGTAAAATTTGTCATTTATGGGCAATAACTCCTATAAGAATTTGTCTATAGTTTTGATGTATATGGCCAATTGGTAGAGCTCATTATTCTGAACATTTTTGCTCCTTTCAGATTTTCTCTATTTATAACGGTTCAAAAAATAATAGACAAAACTTGCATTTTACCCCTATGTTCCATTTTTAGCCATGTCAGCCATGTTGGTTGGTAGGCAAGGTCATCACACACATTTTTTAAACTAGATACCCTAATGATGATTGTGGCCAAGGTTGGTTTAATTTGTCTCAGTAGTTTCAGAGGAGAAGATTTTTGTAAAAGACTCCAAAAATTTACAATAAACTGCTTCACCGAGCACAGCTGGATATGACCGCAGAGGTCCAACCCTAAACAGTTAGGGCAAAAATGGACACAATATTCAAGCTTGATACAGGTCTGAATTTGGATTGTAATTAAATATTTGACACATTATAGGTTTCTGACACAGAATTAATGTAGTCAAAGAACTTGAAATTGGTTATATGATTTGAATTTATATTTTCTTTAGATTTCTTGCTGTTGTGCAATACACTGTGCTGTTGCACAATACTTAGAAAATCTGTTTTCAGACTATATACAAAGAATTAGCCAAATAAATTGTGACCCCCAATTTTTCTTTGGAAAATTGACAATTTTTTAAATCTTGATGGAAAAAAAAAAAATTTTTTTTTACCCTCCTCCTAAAAAAAATAATATTTGAAGAAATTTTCTTTCCATAAAATGTGGTACAATTTAAGAGACATCCATACACTTAAACACAAGTTATTGTCTGAAAACAAGAAAAACGCTTGTTTTAGACCCTTTTTGCCCCCTAATTCCTGAAAGGTTTGGGCAATTACCCCCAAAAATGAATCCCAACCTTCTACCTGTGGTACAATTTCAGAGCAATCAAAATAATTATACACAAGTTATTGTCCTGAAACTAGAAAAATGCTCGTTTTGGGCCCCTTTTTGGCCCCTAATTCCTAAACAGTTGGGACCATTACCCCAAAAAAATCCCAACCTTCCTTTTGTGGTATTGAACCTTTTGGTTAAATTTCAGAGAGATCCATACACTTAAACTAAAGTTATTGTCTGGAAACCAAATGTCTTCGGATGACGACGTGATAGCAATATACAACCCTAATATTTTTTTTGCGGTCATATAAAAAATTAATAAAAATTGACTATAAAGGGCAATAACTCCTTAAGGGGTCAATTGACCATTTTGGTCATGTTAGACTTATTTGTAGATCTTACTTTGCTGAACATTATTGCTGTTTACAGTTTATCTCTATCTATAATAATATTCAAGATAATAACCAAAAACTGCAAAATTTCCTTAAAATTACTAATTCAGAGGCAGCAACCTTACCTTGGAAAGACATGCAGAAGTTTCATCAAACAATCCCATGCTATATTTGTGTCATTAAGAATTAGATTGCTTATATTTGGAAACTGTTTATCACATTGCCAGGACGACCTGTTTTCAATTGGATTACTGGTTAAATTCAGGAATCTCAGTCTTGGTAGTCTTTCTATAATTTCTATTATCTGAAAAATCAACAGATTTATTCATCAAATTTAAAAAGCTAATAATGTTATATAACGAAAAGAAAAATTACTGAGATGCAAAAATACAAAATTCTAATTGTGTTATCAAGTGATTAACAGAACTTTAAACTGTAGGTAATACATGTACTGTCGAGACTGTTCAACAAGTTTTTGGTGAGGTTCGTGTTGCTCAGTCTTTAGTTTTCTATGTTGTGTTTTATGTACTTTTGTTTGTCTGTTGGTCTTTTTCTTTTTTAGCCATGGCGTTATCAGTTTATTTTCAACTCATGAATTTGAATGTTCCTCAGCTGGTATCTTTCGCCTCTCTTTTTCAATATTTTACATCAGTCTTATTTTTGGTTATTCCCTATTTTTCTTTCACTGTAATTTGCACTTTTTTCTTTCACTATAATTTGCATTACTTAGTATAGAACAATCTTTATCAATAAGCTTTAAATTACCATGGAAACAGATGATACAGGATTTCAGGGGCATTGTATCATAATGATATCTGCCTAGATAATACAGGATATTGGAGGAATTGTATCATGAAATCTTCCTGGACAGTCATTCTTGTGGAAATTAAAGTTTTAAATCTTGGATTACCTCCCCTTGAATACACAATTCTTTTTTAAATTGCTTCCTGAGGAAATTTTTGTTTTCTTTCCTGTGTGTTTTATATGTTTGTTTCATTATTTAATGAAACTCATTTTTTTGTTTTGAGTTCAACACATAATGGTTAATACAATAGAAGTTTGAAGTTTTTCCATGGTTTTATTTTAGTACTGAATATGGAATAGTAAAACTCCTGTGACCTGTGTAGATTAAATAATTTTTTTTTTCAATATCAATTATAATTTACATAATATATTGACATCATATACATAGACTCTATATGAAATTTTAAATACATATGCCTTTACACTTGTTATTGGAGAAAAACAAAGGATATATGGTAGCTGTATAATATAAAATGTAAATAGCATTTCTTTAATTGCTGTAGTTATGACTCATACTGAATATTGCATTCATCAAACAAAATGTACAGTAACCATGTTTAAGATCAACAGAATGTTTATAAGTTTTTGTTCACATTGATCACCTGATTCCAATCCTTGATACAGTTTTTGGTGAGATCTAGTTCCTGGACTTGTTTACACAATGTTCCTAGACGGTCTAGATCTCCTGCTTCACAGATATTACTGTCATGCAAAGCTAAGATAGGGGGTATTACTATGTGACCAGAATCTACAAAATTACAATAAGATAACATTAAACTACATACATATACCAGCATTCAGCTCATTCTTTTAATTAAACTTACTTAAAATTAAATCCTTCACACATATTACTTTGTTAGGCAATACTTAGAAAATCTGTTTTCAGACTATATACAAGATTATACTTTTTTTAGTTAGGAATAAAGGGTTTGTGTGTGTTTTTTTTGTGTATATTTTAATGACATAAAATTGAGAATGGAAATGGGGAATGTGTCAAAGAGACAACAACCCAACCAAAGAGCAGAAAACAGCCGAAGGCCACCAATGGGTCTTCAACACAGCGAGAAAATCCCGCACTTAGAGGCGGGCTTCGGCTGGCCCCTTAACAAAAATGTGTACTAGTTCAGTGAAAATGGACGTCATACTAAACTCCAAAACATATAAATGAACTAAAATTAAAAATCATACAAGACTAACAAAGGCCAGAGGCAAAAATGCGGCTGGGTTAAATATGTTTTGTGAGACCTCAACCCTCCCCTTATACCTCTAGCCAATGTAGAAAAAACAAACACACAGCAATATGCACAGTAAAACTCAGTTTAAAAGAAGTCATACATATTTCTGTCATAAATATAACAAATCTAGCAATGGGACTCTTCTATATATGCTAAGTGCGTTTCCTTCTTCATTTTCCAAACAAACTAAATATAAGTTATGAATATGAAAGTCTTTTGGGACTTTATAAAAAAAAATATCATTTTTTTTATGTATTTTGCATTTTTGCTTTTATAGGAAAATTGACAGACACTAACATGTACCTTTGTACATGCATACTTTATGCATGAATTATAACACGGACCATTTAGAAAGTTCTCAATCCTTTCCCGAAAATTACCAGATTCGAGAAAAAAAGAAAGAGAGATTTGGAAACAGAAGAAACCACAGAAAAAACACCTAATAAGAAGCAGTCCATTACTGAAGATTTACAGAACAAAACATAAGTACACAAAGTCAAAATTATTTTGAATACCAGACAATCCACTTCGGGAAAAGAGGAAGGAATCAGAAACGAAATGACCACAGGAACCACAAAACATGTTTATGAAGAAAAGCTTAATCCATGGACACTTTATTTTCAAAGTATATATCAACGAATCTACCAAGATGTACAATTCCCAAAATTTGCGGCGATCATACACTTCACACTATTCCCAACGCAATTGGAAGCAGTACCTCCCTCAGAGCGAACCTAGTTGAATTGGTACGGGATGAACAGTGAGGTGTTGTCTAATTTGGAAATGAATTGACATTTTATGATCTACTTTCATCATCTCTACTACAATACATTGTACCACTAGAAACCTCCATGAGTATAACTACACAGACGTGTGTGAATAGCAGCTAACCACATCGTTAATAACTTTATTGATTAACTTTCACTTTTAACTTAACTAAATTCTTATTTCACTTTCACTTTCTATTTATATCTATAACGTTTTCATAACAACCATTATTGTAACATTACTTTCGGCAAACCGCATGAACCGCCAAATTTGTACTTCACTGTTTGATTTCATATGTAATATTGTCCTGAAGACGCCACGCTTGATGGCGAAACATGTCGACCATAATAAACCACTACCTTGCGGTAATTTACGAGTGTTGTTGACTTTATTGTCGTTTTATATTTTACCTTGGTGAAAGACAACTGTGAATACCTTTCGGAATCCACCTGCTAATTACCCTACCGCATGATTTCTACTTGAGGTGTTGGTTCACCATATATAATTTTTAGTATATTTAATATCAGATATTTTGTTCAGTTGTCCATTTCTTTGCTCACAGGTACATGTGCTTACATGTACATGTATACTCATCATGACAATAATGTTTACCTGTTTTCCCTGGTGCTGAAGCTGGTATGTGTATATGTATACATGTTTCCACATCATCATCATATTTTTGATGAATTGCTTCAACCATTGTTATTCCTGTAGAGGCAGTCATTCTGTCAACAACAAAAAAACACAAGACATAAAATGAAGAACAAAGTTTTATAGTAGATAACATTAATCTTTTAAACTGAAATAGAGCTTGGAAAAACACCATGCTGCATATTGTGTCACAATGTAACCACAACCACAAGCATAGATTTTGTTGAAGCTAAATTATAAAAAAAACACTATTGTGGAGTCATTAGACTTCAGCTTTAAAATCATGTTCTTAAGTCATGACAAAACTATTAGATTTTTTTCCACATAAATTAATATATTTGACAATAATAAACTGTTGACATACATGTAGAGATATGTCTTGTGTTATGCAATTTTGATAGTATAATGTAAATGTTGAAATTAAAATGGCAATATCTAAATATGTAACCTATGCAAATCATTTAAAGTCAATGAAACCATGACTGAAAGTCATGCCTGTCAACTGACCCGGATCCTGCAGGTGTGACCCGAGATTTTCACATTTCTGAGGGGTCACCCGGAACACCAGCCGGGTGACCAAATAACCCGGGAATTCGGAAAATAACCCGTTTTCACCCGGATTCCTAAGCCTTCAGACTGATTAGATATAAACTGATTTCTTTAAAATACCGGCAAATTCGTAATTCTTCCTGGACAAGAAGTTCAACTAGCTGTGTAAACTCAGCTCAAGTGACCCATTTCAGTGCATGGCTTCACTTGACACACTTTTAATTAACACCAATTACCTTAATTAGCTTTAGGTTGTAAATAATTTGTGTATTTCAAAGTTAAAATTGAGAATGGAAATGGGGAATGTGTCAAAGAGACAACAACCCGACCATAGAACAGACAACAGCGGAAGGTCACCAACAGGTCTTGTTTTAAAAACAATTTGAAATTACTTCCTCTTTTTGTCAATTCACAATATACTCCTTAAACTTATATTTTTTTTGTAAAAAGATAAAATCTAAAATGAATTGAATGCAAAAACATATCAGAATAATACTTTTACTTATTGTTCTACCGTAGAACAATTAAAAAATTAAAAATTTGAAAATTATTTTTTTCATCTATACCTCCTTTAATTGTTTAACTTTATTTTATTATACTCTAATATCAACCTCTGATATGTATTACTGTTAAAAAGCTGCACAAAATGTATGCAAAGAAAGCACACATTGGCACATTGTATGCCATGGACTATATATGAACAGGAATAAAGACAATGAAACACAAATCTACCAATGGCCTCCAAGTGCAATGAAATAATAAAATGTACAATTTAAGATTATTTAATCATGTGGGCATGTTTTGGAAACTTGGATATAAATTATAAGAAAAATGTCCCCTAAATACTGAAATTCAGCTCAAAAAAGTTTGTACGCGTTATGACCTGAGATTTCATTCTTCTATGCAGGTCATCACCTGCATTTTCATTGTCATAGGTTGACAGCTGGTATGGAAAGTGCAGAGCCAAATAACCTCCATGGAAATTAGAAATGCCAATACTTATAAAACTGCATACCAAATACCATTGACTTATCACAAGTCGTTCTCTTATAACAAACCTAAACACAAATTTTAACTTGTAACTATGTAAAAGTTTCAAAGTCAATAAACCATGATGAGGGGGTGGGGCCATATAATCTCCATTGAAATGAGATTTGCAAATGCCAATACATCTGCATACCAAATATCATTGAATTTTTCTTTGTAATTTGTTTATTTTTGATATAAAGACAGAATACAGCTTGATTACACATGTACAGTTTTAAGTATATATGGTCTTAAAGATATCATTATATTTCTTCAACTCTAAAAAGCAAAACATAAAAAAAAGATATAACTATAATTTTTGTACCAGTTATGAACTATTTAAATCACCTAGGACAGATTGTAATGGCAACCATTTTTTATAATATATTCTTTTTGTGTAGGTGATAAGTACTTTGTCATATGTTGTTCTATTCTTATACAATATTTCAAATATGCAGTACTACCTTTCACAGAAGGTTTTTCTCCTGCATTTTTACAGCTATAAATATAATATTTTAAAATCAACAGTTCCTTCCACTTGAGACTGTGAAACATCTAGTTTTAGATATGTTCCCTATGGTCATGTCCTTACAGGAGACCTCAACATTGTCGAAGACCGTGAGGTCAAAACTTTTCTTAAGAAAGGACCTAAATATCGTCCTCCATCTATAATAGATTGGAAACAGTGTCGTCAGGTCATTAAAGACGCTCTGTCTGCCTAAACGTGAAAAATCTGATAAAAAATCTCTAGACAGTTACTTGAATAAAATTATGAATACTGTTAACATGGTTAATATTCGTATATCTCATTTTGAAAACAATTCTGAAATTAGTAATAGGGTCCATGATATTCCCATTTCTAGAATAAAAAATAAACTCCAAGTACTCGCAAAGCGGTTTGTGTTCGTACCGGCAGACAAAACAGCAAATAATGTAGTGATGGTGTGACGCATATACTACACGGAAGTTCTCTAAAACGAAATTACAAATTCTTCTACATTCAGGTCCGTATGCTCCACAGAGAGTGAAATTGTAAACAAGCATATCACTGCCACTACCCAGCTTAAAGCCTCTTCAGAACATTTGAAAGTCCCAACTATGTACTGGTTACCTAAATTGCACAAAAAAACATTTAAATTCCTTTTCATCTCTGCATCTATAGCTAGTAAGTGTTCTACTACCAATCTATCAGTGTTTCTAACTACCTCCCTTACTACTATCAAAGAACTTGTTATTAACTTTTGTAATAAAGCTTATGAAAATAATGGTATTAATTATTTTTGGAGTGTTAAAAATTCTTAAGAGGTTTTAGATAAAATACATGCTTTTGATGGTCCTTTTAATTCTGTTGACAGTTATGATTTTTCTACTCTCTATACTAAACTTCCACACAATCTAATCAAAAAAAAGTTTTCATATTTAATTAAATTGTCTTTTGAAAAATCTCATTACAAATTTATTTGCTGTAATTCGTTTAAAGCATTTTTCTGTAACAAAAAAGGAAAGTATGCTAGATACACTAACTGGAAATGTGAAGATATGATTCAAGCTTTAAATTTTCTCCTGGACAACATACATGTACGTTTCGGTGATAAAGTGTATCGACAAGTAGTAGGTATTTTCTATGGGCTCTAACTGCACCCCTTTAATAGCAGATTTAATCCTGTATTGCTATGAATCTCAGTTTAAGATCAAACTCAGTAAAGACACGTCATTGTTACATTTGGTTGATACATTCAACAATACCTTCCGTTATCTGGATGATATTTTTTCGTTAAATAATCCAGAGTTCTCTAAATATACTACCGAAATTTACCCAAAAGAACTTACTTTAACTAAATCTAACATAAACAGCAGTAGTTGTCCTTTTCTAGATTTGGACATTTCAATCTCTAAAGGATAGCTCAATACTAAAATTTACGACAAAAGAGACGACTTTTCATTCTCTATTGTTAATTTTCCTTTTTCAGACGGCGATGTTCCTTTGGCTCCATCATACGGTGTTTATATATCCCAACTCGTTCATTTTGCCCGTGTGTGTAGTGATTTCATAGATTTTAACGAACATAATCAATGCATCACTGGTAAATTATTAAGTCAGAGATTTCTTTACCATAAATTTATTACGTAAAACTTTTACTAAATTCTTTCATAGATACAAAGATTTGATTAGTAAATTTCGCTGTACCTGTAGAAAACTGATTAAAAACGGTATTTCACATCCTAAATTTTACGGTAATATTGTACTTAAAGCGCGTAAATCACTATGTGATCCGTGTAAACTCATCGAACCTTTAAACAAACTTATTAGTAAAGGTTATCTTACCAATGTTGTAATTAGATCTTTGAATATAGTTTACATTGGCACTAATATCGATTTTGTCATCAGCAAATTAAAACTAAATTTGTATTCTTTTCAAACGGGATGTATAAAGACACACCCACGTTTATTTTGATCTATAAAGAGGTTAACTCCTGACTATCCTACTGCCTGTCGATACATTTATTTTTGGCATTGCACAAGTCATGTCTTCTTTGACTGTCCATGACGTTAAAATACTAAATCCCTGGGATGTGTTTTAGTTGATTTTAGTCTCTGATGCATGATTTTTTATTATTGTTTTTGGCTTTTAACTAGCTGTCAGTAACTGCGAGTACTCTCAAATCGTACTTTCTTGTTTACTTGACCTGTCGATACTAATTGTAATGCTTTTTTGTTATTTAATGTTTACTTATTCAGGATTATATCTGGTCTATATACCAGCTTTGATAAGTTTTTGGTATTACTATAAATTTTCACTTTTTCGTACTATGAACATCAAAATTATTTATTTTGAAAAAAATATTTCCTTTAAATTTCTCAATTTGAACTGTACACGTATACCTAACAACAAAATTATTTTCATTTACCTGCGTTTAAAGTAATTGCAAATGGCTGATATTTTTGTTCAAGCATATTGTTTTTCTTAAATTGTTTAACATTTCACAGCTGTATAACATGTTACTTTAATTATTCTTCCCTTAGATTATTTATTTTGTATTTACATTGTATCATAGATCAAATTTATTTGTTCAGTGTATGTTCACTGATGTTAACATGTCTTTTGATTGAGTTAAGCCATTTCAATTGATATTTTATAGTGTGTCTTTCTATGTTGTGATGTTACATTATTGTTTCAGATAAGGGTGAAGGTTTGGTACCATTAAAACGTTTAAACCTGCTGCAATTGTTTGCACCCGTCCTAGTCAGGAATCTGATGTTCAGTAGTTGTCGTTTGTTGATGTGATTCATAAGTGTTTCTCGTTTCTCATTTTTTATATACAGTCGAACCTCGTTGTGTCGAAGTCGAAGGGACCGGAACAAAGTATTTGACTCATCCGAGGTTCGACTCATCCGAGGTCGAGTGTGTGGTCATAAATTTTGAATGCATGAAATACGGTATGAGATTTGTGTAAACTAGATACAATGAACAGTGTGCCTTTTTTCGATATGACACTTTATGATTGTGTATTCAATCTCCATTTTTGGACCTTCGTAATAATTAAAAACACAAGTACAGATACAAATCATGCACAAATAAAATCAATAGTCTACACAAATATTTACAGAGGTCAGTCGCTATAAGTTATGAAATCACTCGCGGCACGAAATAAGTTCTGAACGGTCTCTGATGAGGTCGTCTGCTTTACATTAAATTATAATGAATTAATTATAATTGTCCTAATCCTTTTATCTATTGTAATTAATGAGTTTTAAATATAACGATTCATTTAATCTCGGCTTGGGTCATTTAAATTCGTTTCGTTTTTATCTCAGGTGAAAAATGTTCAACACACTAACATTCCGCTTGAACGATCAACAAAGGTGTTAATTAGCGGTCACCATAAACATTTCATTTTAATTGTTATACAAACAAGTAAGTTTACTCAGCTTTAATCTCTTTTGAAAATGATTAGGTGACATAAGAAATACATCCGATTTGAATTGTTATCAGAAGGTCTGCATCTTGCGAAAATTCTTACTTTCATAGTTCGAGACATCAGAGAGATCCATACACTTGAACACAAGTTATGTCTGGAAGTTACAAAAATGCTTATTTTTGGCCCCTTTTTCCTTAACTGTTGGTACCATAACCCCCAAAATCAATCCCAACCTTCCTTTTGTGGTATTGAACCTTATGGTAAAATTTCATAGAGATCCATTCACTTAAACTAAAGTTAGAGTGCGAAAACCAATGTGTCTTCGGACGACGACAATGACGACGCCAACGTCATACCAATATACCGCAAAATTTTTTTGCAGTTGTATAAAAAGGCATCCAAAGTGAAGACTGTCATGACTTTCATTAGAGAAATTCTTTTACTATACATTGATAGTCAAACTTCCATTGGTAGAAATAAGTGCGTGTGGTTTTGGGGTACTTTTTGGATGTGAGGGGCCTGATGAAGGGGGGGGGGGGGGGTCTCATCACGATTCATGAGTTGATTTTTTTGTCAATCACGATTCACAGAAAATAAATTTCCATGATCACGAATCACGAAAATGTAAAAAAAAAAAATCTGTAGAGAAACGGATCACGATAAAAATGCACCGATCACAAAGATCGAAAATAACCCATCAGGCCCCTCGGATGTGTGTGGGTTAAAATATGGAACACATTAAAAAGACTTATTTGTATCTTTATGACATTCGGATGGTCGTTGTTAAATGCAATGGTTATGCGTTAATGTTCATTTTAAGGTATGCAGCTATAAAATAAATGAAAATATATTGAAATTTGCAAAAGAAGGCTTGGGCTTGGTAGTAATGGTACAGTGCTAAAATTTTTGCTAGTTTGGAAAGATTAACATGCACTATTGTTACATTACCTAGATGTATTCCAGTGCCAAACTGAGTTAGGTGAGAAGACCAGGGCAAACAGCAACTGTTTAAACTTTCATTCTATTTTTAGCTATTAGCCATTAGAATGAATCATACAATGATCAAAAAAGAAAATACAAGTCTACTTTTTGAACCGGAAGTGTGAACTACGTCATGGAATTTGTGACTTTCTTGGGGATTTTTTTGTAGCTTTTTGTACATGTTATTTTGCAGTTTTAAGTTAGAAAAAAATACTATTTTATCATTTCCATTTTATCATGTTTTCTTATTCCTTTTCTTATCTTTTCGTTCTCTTATTATTTATCAAAAACATCATATATTAAACAGGAGCTGATCAAGAATTAAAGGCAAAGAATGACAAAAACATTTTGACACATCACTGCAACATCTGAATACCAAAAGGTTTGTTGTGTTGTTTTGACAAGAAATGACAGATACGAAGTTGGATTTTGGGAACATAGCAGGAGACATTGATATTCCAGATAAACAAAGCTCTTTAAAAGGAAAAGGGTTAGAATCAGTTTGAATAATTGCAAAAGTCGAGAAGAATTTTAACATTCATTTGGATACTTGTAGTATTTTCCTGCTCTTTGGTCGGGCTGTTGTCTCTTTGACACATAATTTTCCCATTTCTATTCTCAATTTTATTGAAATACAACAGTGCCATTAGTATTGGTCACCTACACATTATGTTTCCTATATATTTTAGAATCCATGACAACTCATCCTATTGCCAAAAAGTCCTGACCAGCTTGCCAACTCGCCCCATTTTCTACCAATTTGCTGAACTCCATGATAATAAATTTGTCCATCTTATCAATATGAATAGGCTGTTTCTGGAATCATGTCTTTCACTGGAAAAGGTCGTCAATTTAAGCACTCCATAAACATGATAAACACATCAATTACCAGATAGAAGGCATGCCTGTATCCCTGCAACAATCAAAGTTTCAAGCATCTTCAGGATCATCATTCTGTAGCCTGGCATCCTGACCCAATCTAATACTTTGTTGATAGGGCCAGGCGTAATACAATCCACGTGACCAACTATCAGCGCTGAACAGGACTGAATAACTGCGCAGGAATATATCGATTGGATCGTCAATTAACAGTTGATTCACGATGTTAATCAATAATGTTTGAATTATATATGCTAAATTTTTCGAAATTTGCATTTCATATGAAATGAAAAATAATTTTCAATAAATTTGTGACAATATAAAATATTTCCCGCCATGTGTCAAGAAATGACGCTATCCCACGATGCATCATTCTAACTTCCAATTGACAAAACCATGTCGCTGTATTCCGCCTGGCTCTACTGTCGAGCAGTGAGCCAGGATCCCAGGCTAAGTCATTCTGCAGGAAAGTCTAGAATTAATTTATGTTCAGTAGGTACACCATCTCAATGTCCCGTAAGACTGAAGGGATGGTGACCAACCAATTAGAATTTCATTTCCCAAATAAGTCATGCAGTAATTAGCTTCAAATTTTTTCACCCATTCGCTTGAAACGTGATGGAAGTGACGATGCCTACATTTTGGTCACATGGTGATGAAAGTCACATGACGGATATAACTAATTACTGTACAATGTTTCTCATAACTGGTGTATAGGAGTTTAAAATCACTGAATAAAGGCATGCCAACTACACATGTAGCCCCTCATGAAGAGTTGTATATTCCTGCTGTACTTAGACCTAGTTACCAACTCTAGCTGCTGAATAAAATCATGGTACATTAAAAGAGTTGGTGGGAGCTATTTGGCAGGTCTTTATTCAGCGGGATATGACTCCTTTTCATTAGTGTAGCAAGTTGGCAGGCTTATTTTCAGCGGGGTAATTGACTCCTTTTCATTAATGGGGTGCATTTGCAGTTTTATGTTCATCTCCTTTTCATAAGTGGGCAAGTGGGAAGGTCTTAATTCAACAAGATTAACTCCTTTTCATTAATGGGCGGAAGTTGGTAGGTCTTAGGGGATGGGTTAGGGCCTTTAAACTAGTTAAACCCGGCCACATTATGTATGTGACGGTCACAACTCAGGAGCCTGTGATTCAGTGGTTGCCGTTTGTTTCTGACTATATCATAATTTTTTTTGGTTCATTATTTGTACATATATCAGGCCATTCACCTAGTTTTCTCGTTTGAATTGTTTTATATTTGTCATTTTTGGGCTTTTAATAGCTGACTGTGTGCGGTATGGGTTTTTTTCATTGTTGAAGGACATGCAGTGACATATAGAATTTAATTTCTATGTCATTTGGTCTATGGTGGAGAGTTGTCTCATTGGCAATCATACTACAATGTACATCTTCTTATTTTTATATTTATTTGGCAGAATATGACTCATTTTCAGTAGCGGGGCAAATTCAGTGGACTAAACAGTAAAACTCCTTTTTATAAGCGGGTTGAGTTGGCAGGTCTTTTGTTTCTTTATTCAGTGGGATTTATATATTTTTGATTAGTGGGGTGAGTTATCTTGCTTCCTATATCATGTATATTTCATTTAAAACTACATTTTTTCACATATTTTTAAGGCATTTTAGGTTGGATTTTAACATTAAGCATTATTGAAAGATGCAAATTTGTCTGTTCAAAGTATAGAAAAGAATAGAATTTTTTTCACCCGTTACACAAGACCAAGACCATGAAGATCCCACTACATCTATAAAAATGTAAGATCGCGGTGAGATCGTGGTATGGTCGGTTTGAATATTCAATAGTTTCCACATTCATAGCACAACCTTGCTACCTATGATCCCGATAAGATCCTACTACGATTCTGCTAAGATATTAACATGTTCTAGTTACGATCTTGCCATGCTCTTGCTACGAACAATAAGACCTTACCATGACTTACAAGATTTTTTACCAAGACTGCATTATCAATGTTTGTAGCATGTTCAAAGTGTTGGTATTCACACAAAAAAAGACTATAAATATGTGTGTATCAACAGTTAATGCATTATTAATGTTCATGAACAAAAAAAAAAGGATGCATATTAAAAAAATATAAATTATACAGATGTTCTCAATAAAAGACAATCATTAATATACTTTGATTTAAAAACTCTGGATAAAATTAGACTTTTATAGATTTTCATAAATGGCTATATGTTACTAAAGTATTTAAAGAAAAGTAAGGGTAAGTGGGCAAAACTTGTATTGGCACTACATGGATAAAATTAAAGGATTCCAAATATCTGACAAAAAAATCAAAAACAAGAGTAGCAAACATCCTTAAAAAAAATATTTGGTATGTACATGTATGCAGTAGTATAAGCACTGGCATATATACATGTATCTTATTTCCACAGAAATTGTTTGGCCTTTTGACCTGTCCGCAATCATGGTTGATTGATTTTTGATATTTTTAAATTTTTGTTGGTTAAAGCATTGCTATTTCAATTTCAACATATACATTATACTAGTAAATAGTTATTATATAGCTTATTTAAAATATTCGAAAATATTCGAAAAATTCAACGGTCAAAAGTGGAGAAATATTGTACCTTTTAAATTTGTTAAACACAAGATACATGTACTAAGGTTGAAAAAAATTCTCTAATGATTTTAAAATATCTTTTTTTATGGTCAACAAGCAGGTTGTGTTCTTTTCTATGTGATGTTGTCAGGATGGACCCTTTGTTTGTGATGACAGAATAGCAAAATTAGAGACAGGCAAGACAAATTGACTTCATAATTAAATTAGGCTAATGAAGATCATCAAGCAAATTAAACCACACATTGATTTTCAAAAAAGAATCAAATTATCTGATAAGTATAAAACAGCTTAGAATTAAAAAAAAAATGTATACAAAATATTCTTCTCTGAAACATAGTTGTTGATCTTGTCTGCCAACCAACATGGTTGAAGTGGATAAAAATAAAATATTCGTTTGACAAAGGTGTAAAAATATAGGGACAAAAATGTTTAGAATGTCAAAATCTACATACTGCCCATTTGGTAAAAAAAATGTCTGACCACTCCTTTTATAAATCATTGCACTCAAATGACATTTTTTTCCATTTTAATTATCTTGAACACTTTAATAGATAGAGAAATTTGAATTTAAAACTTATCTGCAAAAGAATGGTAGATAGAGAGAAAATTGATTAACAAGACATTATATCTACAAATAAGTCAACAGAGCCAAAATTGTTAGTTGGCTGCTTATTTTTTTTTTTCGCCTTTTGATGAAGATTTTACCCATCTTTTGTCATTTTGAAAAAAAAAATAGATTAGATTTAGACATAAGGTAAACAGCAAGTCAGTTGACTCTAATATATAGGAGTACAATTGACTCTAATATATAGGAGTGCAATTTTTACTTTTTCTTTGCATTTGGACAGAAACTATAGAAGATAGAGTGAAACTGTAAACAGCAAATATTATCAACAAGAAAAGATCTATAAATAGGTAAAAACTGACAGTTCTTTTCTTATTGGAGTTATTGCCCTTAAATGAAGATTTTATTTATTTTTCGTTTTGGACATAACCTTTAAAAATAGCGAGAAACTGTAAAACGAAAAAAGCAATACAAGATCATAAAAAAGAGATTTTAGCCATGAATTATATTAACATCTAAAATGTTGGAGATAGTCCATTGTTCAAGATGTACAGGGGCCTCGCATCAGAGTGGTCTAAATAGTTCATCTCTAGTGTCCCCCCTTGTGTCAAGAATTAATCTCAAGATGCATTATATCCAATCTGAATAGACTAACATTGGTAGGTTTTGTTCTGAAGCTCATGGTTTACTGCAGTTATCTCCAGTTAATAAAAAATGGCTGCTATGATTTAGTTTAGAGTTGTGAGAGTGGTCTTCAACACCAACAGTCAATCAATTCATCAAGATGTACATTCATGTAGATCCAGGTGAGCAACACAGGCTATTTAGAGTCTCTAGTTAAAGTTTTATCTTTTCTTTCTCTGGATGAAACTTATCTCAATAGTAAAATATTTATGACTGGTGAATACAGAGAACAAAAGTCTTAACTGCTTATTTAATATTATATTTCATTTGTAAGAAAGATGTTTAAAAAAATCTCATTTTGTATAAATTATCCTTACAACCCTTCAACTTAATACAAGTTGTTTGGATTGTGTAATAATCTAAAGATATCCTCAAGCTATATATATGTATTAAGAAATTAACATGTTAGTGAAGTTATGTATGAATATTACACAAAATGTATGTACCTTTATGAAACATTTTTTTATTTAGAAAAATCAAAGAATCATGGACAAATGATATATCAAAAATCTGATAATTGAAATTTAAACATGAGGAAGATTTCTTTAATCAATTTAATGTTTTGAATAACACTTATTACTTTAATCAGCATAAGTTCGTCCATTAAAAAAGTGTAACAATAGGTCTTAATCATTTATGTCAATAACTGTAATTAAGTTCAAAGTACACTAGTAAATGTACTGTGTTAGCAATGTACAAACAAAATTAAGTAGGAAATCCTGGATATAAGATGAAAAATCTTTGTAATACGTGTAAAAGGTTATATTGTCATTTTATGGAGAAATTTATAGTGTTTTTATTCAAGTGAAGAACATATATCAAATTACAAAAAAAATGTAAGTGACTGCTTTTTAAAATTTATGAACACACACAATAAATCAGGTTAATTTAAAAAAAAAAATTTGCAGCACAAGAAATATGTGTGTCTGTCCCAAATCATGAACTTAATGTCAGTGGTTGTTATACATTATATATAATGTGTTGACAGAGTTTGGTGTTGATGACGGACGTTTGATAGTCTCTGTTAGATTTATTTAGATTGTTTTTAGACTAGACAATTTGTAGCTTGAAACTGTGAAGACATCATTGTTGTAGGTGATATGTTGACCTGCAGATGTCTTTTCATTTCCCAAATCCTGTACTGTACATTGTATCTCCTTTTAGCAATATGAAAAACATGTGAATTTCTTTTAAGAAAATTAAGAGCAAATGAAAAAATGTTCTTTGAGGTTGTTCTATAGACTCAGTAGAATATAAAAAAAATCATAGGACAGTTCAGTCATCTGATATTAAATACAACAGAAAGGCCATTTGATAAGGTATTTCTGTTTTGAATTTTCCTTGGAGTTTGGTATTTTTGTTATTTTACTTTGTACCATGATTTCGGCAAGTGGCAATTTTAAAAACCAAACATTTTTTTTAAAATTTGTGTTAGCCTGAACCATGAACCAAATTTATTTTAAAGATTGTTTTAATTACAACATTTTAGGAAATAAAGATAAATCATGTAAGTTTTTTTTTGATTTTTCATGGAAATATTTACTTGCATGAATAGCAGAAATGGATTATATTAAATTAATAAGATATATTGTGTTAATCATTTTTTATACCTTTTACTAATCAAAGAATGGATGGACAGTATGCCAGAAAAAAAATGTAGATATTTGGTTATTATCTTTTCCAAAACTACAATGTATAAACATGTACATCACCTGAAAAATTTCACTAAGATATTGTGACAAAAATTAAAATTTTGGGAGAGACATTTAATTTGTATATTTAGATACCCAATTGAAAATAATAATATATTAAATTGATGATTGGTAATGATTTTTGTCGAACCTGCGACTTCTGTCACAGAAAGCTCGACATAGGGATAGTGATCCAGCTGCAGTGGTGGCGCCGCATTAACTTAAATATAACTTCTTGAAAGCTTTATATTTTAGAAGGTGGGAGACCTGGATGCTTCGTACTTTGTATATAGATGCCTTATGTTATGAAGTTTCTGTCTGTCATATGTCCATTGTCCTTGACCTCATTTTCATGGTTTAGTGACTACTTGAAAAAAAAGTTTAAGATTTTTTGTAATGTTAATTTCTTTCTTATCATTAGTAATAGGATAACTATATTTAGTATGTGTGTACCTTGCAAAGTCCTCATGGCCGTCAGACAGTTTTCATCTGACCTCGACCTCATTTGGAGTCATTTCATGGATCAGAGAACAATGTTAAGTTTTCGTGGTCAAGTACATATATCAGATACTATAAGCAATAGGTCTACTATATTTGGTGTATGGAATGATTGTAAGGTGTACATGTATTTCCCATTTGGTTTATCTGACCTTGACCTCATTTTCTTGGATCATATTAAGTTTATGTGATTCTTGTAGTAAAGCTTTATATTTAGGACTATCAACATAAAATCAATGGTCAGTAAAGAAGGCGAGACATTTCAGGGTGTGCATTCTTGTTAAAATATCATTCAGTTATTGTTTCTGGAGTGGGTCTCATTGGGGTCTAAGCGTGATGTGGGATCGTCTGATTTTTTTGTAAGCGTTATAGTCAAATTATTTTTGCGTGAAAATGGGAAACGAAGTCAGGACATGCCAAATTACAAGAGCTGTTATTGCAATGATAAGCGGGATACAGGATTCTTATAAAACAATAAGCGGGATCCGGGATCAGACCCCTCAATGAGACCCCCTCTTGATAGTGAAGTTATATACATGTATATTTTTTTCATTTGAAAGCAGGAAATAAACCTCTCTTTTCATAAAAAAAATCATATCGACTTCATTGTTCCCTACACTTTTAAATATAACGTGTAAAGACTTTTGCTTTGACTTAAAATTTTAGCTCCCGTCTCTTGAGTTTAAAAGACAATCAATAACATATGCTTGTATTATACACAGGCGTATATCAGGATTTAAAGCCAGGTATTGTATGAATTATCTATCCTTTCTTAGCTTTCACAGTATAATTGGTATTCATTAAAATCTTGCTGCATGGGAATATTTGTACATGTATATATATTTATAATTATAGAAACAATTTTCTAAGAGATGGTAAATCATAAAATCCAAGTCAAATCTTTAGACATTTCCTAAAAACTTTTGACCTCATACATATATAGGTGTTTTGGAGAAGTTGTCACTGAGGCTTAATACCACTTTTTCGTTTGAATGCCAAATTTTCTGTTTCTTTGATATAAGGAACTATTTTCAGTAAAGCACTTAATCAAAGACATTTTATAAATTACTTGGTCATGTCAGTCCAGCACAATTATTTGTCCAGTTTCCTTTTGATATACACTTGTTCAGCTTTCCCATGTACTAAATGCTACACCTGACCTAGCACTTTATATACAGTATATTTTCCTGTACAAATTAAGTGTGTTTATCTTACAACATGAACTGATTTTGAGAAATTCTTGCTCAGAAGTTCACTGAGCAGAATTAACCATAATGTTTTATAATAATTATAGGTTATATTAGATAACATGATAAAGCAAACTTTTTGAAATGTATCTAATGTTAACCACATGTATATATATTAAAAGTATTATGTATGCATATACATATAAACATATATAAATAATGAACTACTCATAAATTCATATATATATATATATATACATACTAATGTAAAAGCTTTTGTAAATTTTGTAAAGTATTGTTTTACTCTACATGTTATCTTTTAATGGGAAAAAAAATGTGCATGACTTATTGTTGTAAGCAGATATGTTTACATGTATACAAGCTAGTGGTATACCTTGTGCCTTTTGCATTTACAAAATGCATATTTCAATTGATATTTTATAGAGTGTCTTTCTATGTTGTGATGTTACACTATTGTTTCAGGTATAGGGTGAAGGTTGGCACCTATTAAAACATTTAAACCAGCTGCATTTGTTTGCACCTGTCCTAAGTCAGGAACCTGATGTCAGTGGTTGTCGTTTGTTGATGTGGTTCATAAGTGTTTCTCGTTTCTCGTTTTTTATATAGATTAGACCGTTGGTTTTCCTGTTTGAATGGTTTTACACTAGTCATTTTTTGGGCTTTTATAGCTTGCTGGTTTGTGTGAGCCTAGGCTCTGTGTTGAACAAGGTTGGCAAAAAAGCGGTCAATACTAGTATTGACCATGCCGGCGGTAAATACCGGTTAATACCGGGAAATACTGGCAAATACTGGTCAATACTGGCAAATACTGGGCAATTGAAATTTTGATAGGACTTTACTATAAAACTAGTCCCTACCTCAGGTCAATTAGTGAATTACTTGGTAAATGGATAGATATAGTCACAAGGCAGAAAGTCACTTATTTACTACATTGTAATAGGACAAAAAGTCACAATTAATTAGTTCATGAACATGGTTTAATGAAGATTTATCAATCATACAACAGATATAGTCATTAACACCATGAAGTCAGTCACTTAAGAGAGACTATATAACATCTGGTTTTCTTAACAGTTATTTTGAAAGATGCAATTAAAAAAATTAAAAAAATTGTTTTATATATATATATGTTATATATTTATTAAAAAAAAACATTTCCTGCATTTAGAACAATTTTATCATGCTGTTGAATAGCCAGGAATTAATTCATTGTTTAAAACAATCTTTAGAAATCACTTTTATGACTTTTTTCCTGTTATGTCAACATTTATTAGGGGACAGTTGTTATAGTAATTAAACTTTTGACACCTGTTAGCCATATAATAGGTAATGCTCTGATAATCTATATTGCTAGTCACTTGTAATTCTATTTACCTGTAAAATTCAAACCTTTTCAAGAAAAATATATATCTTGATTTATACATGTTAAAATAACTGATATAGCTGCTCAATTTTATATGTATACCAAAAGTATGCAATATAATTACCCCTAAGAACTAAATTAGTCATTTTTAATGTTTTAATAATTAATAACATACCAATATCATTCATTTTTGTCGAGCCTTCGACTTTTGTCGAAAAAGCGAGACATAGCGATCCTACATTCCGTCGGCGGCGTCCACAAATATTCACTCTGTGGTTAAAGTTTTTGAAATTTTAATAACTTTCTTAAACTATCCTGGATTTCTATCAAACTTGGACAGAAGCTTGTTTATGATCATAAGATAATATTCAAAAGTAAATTTTGTAAAAAAAAAATTCCATTTTTTCCGTATTTTACTTATAAATGGACTTAGTTTTTCTGCCAAGAAACATTACATTCACTCTGTGGTTAAAGTTTTTGAAATTTTAAGAACTTTCTTAAACTATCCTGGATTTCTACCAAACTTGGAAAGAAGCTTGTTTATGATCATAAGATAGTATCCAGAAGTAAATTTTGTAAAAAAAAAAATCTATTTTTTCCGTATTTTACTTATAAATGGACTTAGTTTTTCTACCAAGAAACATTACATTCACTCTGTGGTTAAAGTTTTTGAAATTTTAATTACTTTCTTAAACTATCCTGGATTTCTACCAAACTTGGAAAGAAGATTGTTTATGATCATAAGATAGTATCCAGAAGTAAATTTTGTAAAAAAAAAATATCCATTTTTACTTATAAATGGACTTAGTTTTTCTGCCAGTTAACATTACATACGCTCAGTGGTTAAAGTTTTTAAAATTTTAACAACTTTCTTAAACTATCCTGGATTTGTACCAAACTTGGACAGAAGCTTGTTTATGATTAAAAGCTAGTATCTAGAAGGAAATTTTGTTAAAATTTTGTTTGATTTTTTCCGTATTTTACTTATAAATGGACTTTGTTTTTCTTCCAGTTAACATTACATACAGTCTGCAGTTTAAGTTTTTAAAACATTTATTAGATTCATAAACTATCCTGGATTTTTACCAAACTTGAACAGAAGCTACTTACAATCAAAAGATAGTATAGAGAGGAATATTTTTATTTATTTTTTTTTCCTCATTTTTGTTGAGCCTGCGATTAACAGCAATAGTAGGCGAGACACTGGGTTCCGCGGAACCCTTACGAATTTTTATAAACTCAATCATGCCAAAGGAATAAAGTTTTCCCTCATCAACCATTTTTTTACTAGAATTGATAGATAAGCCAGTCAAAAGAAGCATGAAATTTTCAATTGACCAGTATTTGCCAGTATTGACCACTTGGGGAGTATTGTCCGGGGCGGTAAATACCGGTAAATACCACTGGTAAATACCGGGGGTGGTAAATACCGCCCAACCTTGGTGTTGAAGGCCGTACTTTGACCTATAATGGTTTACTTTTACAAATTGTGACTTGGATGGAGAGTTGTCTCATTGGCACTCATAATACATCTTCTTATATCTATGTAATACATAGGTAATTTTTTCATAATTTATATACATCATGTTGTATATGCATAAATGATTGTATAATTAATGAAAAAAAATTTATTTGTATGACAACAAAAGTAACATGTCCTTTAAGTAATTCATTAAATATATACTGAGTAAATAAAGTTTAGCAACAAATATTTTAAGTTGAAATTTCAAAAATAAAACATACTTCTTAGAAGTTCTTACCCTGACAATAAATTTATAAATACTTTATTGTAACAAAAACAATATGCCAAAAGGTGCAATTTTTACTTGACAAAATCTTAATTATAAACTTTATTTCCTCTACTTTTGAAATTTTTAATATAAAGTTTTATGAATTAAAAGTTGCAAGTGATGAAGTTAAAATCATCCCTTCGCAAATTTTAAGGACACCATCAGAGTTGGTTGATCGTTATAGAATATCTGTTACACAAATGATGACGTATATGCTCCAATTGTCGTAACCACAATCCCTTCCTCTTTTCCTCGAAGGTGACCCACCAAATAAGACTTATCATCGGATTTGTACTTACATGAGCTACACAACCGGTTCCTCATTTGGAGCAGGATCTGCTAACCCTTCCAGAGTACCTGAGATCACCGCCCGGTTTTTGGTAGGGTTCATGTTGCTCAGTCTTTTGTTTTCTTTGTTGTGTTTTTTGTGTACTGTCTGCCTTTTCGTTGTTTTCATTTCTAGCCATGGCATTATCAGTTTGTTTTAGTTTTATGAGTTTGAATATCCCTTTAGTATCTTTTGCCTCTCGCTCAAAATATATGTTGTTTATTTCTTTTTATTCAGTATATATGTATATGTTGTGTACAAGTTATCATTTTGTACAAATTATAATTTGTATTTTGACTTTGTAATTTGTACAAAAAGTGCTTGTTCAGATTACAATTTGTACAAAATTTGACTAAAATTCACTTATAAATTGTACAACAATTTATTGTATGATTTTGTTATAATAAAAAAAGCATTGATACACCCTATAGAATTTTTATTCAATGACCACATAATAAACTTTATTTACAAAATACAAAAATGTAATTGATACGTGCATGCCAGTTAATTCTGATAGTACAATAGAAATTGGCCCCAGTGACAATTCTGATAGTACAAAAGAAATTGGCCCCAGTGACAATTCTGATAGTACAATAAGAATTGGCCCAAGTGACAATTCTGATAGTACAATAAAAATTGGCCCCAGTGACAATTCTGATAGTACAATAAAAATTGGTCCCAGTGACAATTCTGATAGTACAATAAAAATTGGTCCCAGTGACAATCATGGTGACACTGACGTTGAAACACCAATCATACGTGCCAGGCACCGTGCACTGTCTGGCCAACAAATCCAAGCCCCATATCTAACCAAGAAAAAGAAACGAAAATTATCAGAACTTGCTGTGGGGAATAATGTCATTATACCAATTCCTCAGTAGGATCGTGCTCCAACTGATCCTCGAAATATCTTAGGTGTAATTATTGAATCTGGAGAATTTGGATACCGCTTTGGAACAGCTGTAGAAATTTTAACAGGATATTTGTTGAGAAATCAAATTGAAGCTGTTAAAGACACATCTTTATTCGCAGCTTTCTGAGCTTCAACTTTCTCTACGTGAAGCAGTTAAAAAGCTTCCAAAGACTGCTGGTCAGGGGTTCCTTTAATGTAAATGCAAAGGGATGTGCAGCACTTCTAAATGTAAATGTAAAAAGCAAAATGTGTTGTGCAATTCCCGATGCCATAATTCACTCACATGCTCAAACAAATCTAAAGAACTATTTTTTTGTACGTTGTAAATAAGGTTTATTGTGTGGTCATTAAATAAAATTTCTATAGTATGTATCAATGCTTTTTATAACAAAATCCATACTATAAAATATTGTACAAGTTATAAGTGAATTTTAGTCAAATGTTGTACAAATTGTAATTGTTACAAGCACTTTTTGTACAAATTACAAATTATAATTTGTACAATTTTTTTGTACAAATTATAATTTGTACAAAATGATAACTAGACACAACATATATATATAATCAGGAAAAGTTGTATTATTTTGAATGATACAAGTATCCTTTATACACCCTAGGACAAGGATGTGAACAACTACAGGTCACCATACGGCCTTCAACAATGAGCAAAACCCTTACCATATATATAATAACACAGCTTTAAAAGGCTGACAAAATGAGAAACAATTCAGAAGAGAAGTTTGATTAAAAATTATAATATGAACAAACAGTTGACTACATAGGAATATTTGTATATATATTTAGAATTATAGAAAGAATTTTCTAAGAGATGGTAAATCATAATAGACAGGCACATGTTAAATATTTGAGAGTGCTCAACCCTCCCACTGGACAGAGGTGACTTAACAGCACAACATTGGATCAAATTGTTAAAAAGGGTTCTTACCCTGTGATAATTGTTCTTACATAAAAAGATACCTATATCAATACAATATACATGATTTAATACATGTGTTTGTATTATATCTACTAAATGTTAAAAATCATTTTACATTTCAGAATAATGTCTCTTTCACTATCAAATGTATCAGCCCGTGAATGGATTTCCAAGACAAGAGAAGGGATCAAACCATGGGGAGAATTTATCAGCACCAGTAGGTTTAAAGTACCTAAATCTGTAAAACCTGTACCAGGGAGAGTCATGAAGAATATAGAACATTTCCAGAGCAATTATATGTTTGTTTTTCTTGGTCTGGTTTTATTTTGTGTGTAAGTATTCACCATGTTCACATTAAAATAACCCATGTCTTGCCTTCACAACATTTGTTGCAGACAAAACAAAAAATAAAAAGAATAAGGAAATCCATATTTTGTAAGAATTTAAAACTGATTTTAATAAAATTTCATATTGTTAAGTTTTCTGATTTGGTGTGTTTGTAAAGAAATTTACTAGCTACATGTTTGTGTAGACCATTGTTATTTTGATAACTGTTGCATAAGCATTACTTGAAGAAATCAGTTCACAGTTTGAATGTCAAATCCACTCCTAAATACCGGTAATCATAAAATTTCATTTTGATTTGTACAATCATAAAAGTTAAGTATTATATTTCAGATTGACATCACCCATGTTACTGGTTGCCATTGCAGCTTGTTTGGGGGCATGTTACATCATCAGTTTAAAAAATGCAGAAAATAAACTTAAAATATTAGGTAAGTATAAATATAAAGTTGTGTTATAACCACTATCAGTTCTTTTTCAACTAATGAGTTTGATTATTCCTTTGGTATCTTTGGCCTCTCTTTTATGTAGGGTATTCATTGATAAACATTGTAACCAAAAAAGAACCCAAAAAACAGCCTGAGGTCAACACGAGTTGTCAAGTATCTGTTCAGTATGTCAAGCTAAACCACACTGAAGTTTGTAAAAGTTAATCTGCCATCAATTCCAAATTAACTAGTGTTCATTATCAAAATTATACTCCAACTCTAGAAGTGTGGCTATATTGCAATCACATTGTCTCTATCTGTTCCTCGAGCTCCAACAAATACTTTGGTCACACTTTCTCAAAAAAAGTACTTAAAAGAATGACTTCATATTTGGTCAGTGTCTTGAGAGGGATGAATTGTAATGTGTGAGCACTTTTTATATGCCCGTTTACGGGACGTATTATGGTATACCGTTGTCCGTCTGTCCGTCCGTCTGTCCGTCCGACCGTCGTCAACATGTCGGACATTACTTCAAAAACGCTTTAACCAGTATGCATGAAACTTTGGTGAATTGTTTATATCTATTGACGTAAGCTCCCTTTCGTTTTTTATCAATTTCAGATTTACCATTTCCAAGTTTTGGGGTTTTATTCATTAAAAAAGGGGGGATTTTCCAGTTTTCGGACAATAACTCAAAAACAATTTCACCAATTTGCATGAAACTTTTTGTAAATTGTTCATATCTATTGACGTGAGCTCCCTTTCGTTTTTTATAAAGTTTGGATTTACCGTTTCCGAGTTTTGGAGTTTTATTCTTTAAAAAAGGGGGGATTTTCCAGTTTTCTGACAATAACTCAAAAAATATTTCACCAATTTACATGAAACTTTTGTGAATTGTTCATATCTATTGACGTGAGCTCCCTTTTGTTTTTTTATAAATTTTGGATTTACCGTTTCCGAGTTTTGGGGTTTTATTCATTAAAAAAGGGGGGATTTTCCAGTTTTCAGACAATAACTTAAAAACAATTTCACCAATTTGCAAAAAACTTTGGTGAATTGTTTATTTCTATTGACATGAGCTCCCTTTTGATTTTTATAAATTTCAGACTATTAAGTTTCCGATTTATGGGGTTTTATTCATTACAAAAAGGGGATTTTCCAGTTTTCGTCAATAACTCAAAAATGCTTTCAGCATTTTTTATGAAACTTTGGTAAATTGTTTATATCTATTTTTGTAAGCTCCCTTTTGATTACTATGAATTTTCGATTTTACATTTCCGAGTTATAAGATTTTATTTGTTTATAGTCTGACAACAGATTTACTAAGTATTGCGCATTGCACAACAGCAAGAAATCTTTCATATAACCAATTTCAAGTTCTTTGACTACATTTATTCAGAAACCTATAATATATCAAATATTTAATTACAATCCAAATTCAGACCTGTATCAAGCTTGAATATTGTGTCCTTTTTTGCCCCAACTGTTCAGGGTTGGACCTCTGCAGGCGTATCCAGCTGCGCTCAGCGAAGCAGTTTTATTTAATCTGTCGAACACCTGTTTCCTGGTACATTGAATTACAAGGGGGAGGGGGGTATGCTAAGTACAACGTGTACATTATGTGTAGTGCATAGGTATTGATATATATATATAATTGCTTTGTCCGAGTTCTTGTTTACCATGCATGTTGTTTAATTCAAAAATGTTAATCTTATTTTGGCAGGTTTCTGATTAAAAAAAAAAAGAAGAGATAATACTGAATAACAGCCAACAAAATGAAAATCTATATCTTGTCAAATTTGATGGTTTACACCTATTGTTTTATTTATTACATTAATTGAGATTGTCATATGAATATCACATTTAAATTAAAGAAAGCGACATCATTATAAATTATAATTCTGAAAATTAAACAGTATAGGCATAAAATGAAGGGTATAGACATTACAAGTAATAAATTATATCCTATACAAAAATAAGATGTGGTATGATTACCAATGGGACAGCTTTCCACCAGAGACCAAATGATACAGAAGTTAGCTTCTATAGGTCACTGTACGTCTTTCAACAATGATCAAAACCCATATCACATAGCAAGCAATGAAAGGCCCAAAATGACAAGTGTAAAACAATTCAAAAGAGGAAACTAACAGCTTTTTCATATGTTCAAAGTAATAAATAAAAAACAAATATGAAATGCATGCTATACTGAACTACAGTTTGTTTTGATTTTTTTAGGTAAAGAATTAAGTGTAGGTCAGCAGTATGCAGTAGTTGGTGTGTGTTCATTTCCATTATTCTGGCTAGCGGGAGCAGGGTCGGCTGTTTTCTGGATTATTGGTAAGAAACTTTATAATATCCTTAAAATGGGAATATATGTGTTTAATGGCTGTAGTAAATATCATATAAAAATAAGAATATGTAGTTTGATTGCCTATGAGACAATTCTCCACAAGAGAATAAATGACAGAAATTTAATATAGGTCACCGTACGGCCTTCAACAATGTGCAAAACCCATACCACATAGTCAGTTATAAAATGCCCCGAAATGACATGTAAAAAATTCAAACGTGAGAACTAACGGCCTGATTTATGTACAAAATAATGAATGAAAAACAAATATAATATACAGCAACATAAGACAACCACTGAATTACAGGCTCCTGACCATACATATATTACCAATAATTTATCATACTAGAAAAAGACCTTTTTGCAGTACTAGTGTCAACTTAAGGTAGATCATAGGTATATATTTCTTGAGATAAAATTTTCTTATACTTTGCCAAAATGAAGATTTTACTATGCTTTTTTCAAAAATATAATAAAAAGTATGGGTCACCGTGCTATTTTCCAAGCTATGAGTCGTTGAAAATTGCCTAAATTTGGTTAGATTGTTCATTAAAAAACACCTTTGTGTGCATAAAAAAAAATCTATGAGATAGAATTTTAAAATAAATTGTGAGAAGATAGGTTTTATAATATGTTTTAAGAAAATAAAAAGAAAAAATGGTGTCACCGAACTTGTTTTCTTGCTACAAGTAAAAATTAAAAATCTCCCTATCAGTCCAGTATATATTTTTTACTAAAAGTGTTATCTTCCCTGAAATGGCTTATTTGAATAAATTGATTCTAAAAGCACAAAATTTGATATTTGTTTAAATATTTTGAGTTATACAATAAATTATCAATTTTTATTTACATAAACAAACAGTCTAACCAATAAATTGTAAATCTGTCTCCAAATTTGCAGATTTAGGCAAATAACTAGACCGATTTTGTACTGGGATTGTACAATCCAAGATGGCGGTATACCATGAATCTACCTTAAACTAAGCAACAACTGATTGTTTACTGGTATAACTACACATTGTAGCACTTTAGTTCCCTTGGAAACCTTGCAAAGTTTAGTATGTGGTGAACTTTAAATGTTTTAAAATATCTTATTCTAATTGTATTTGTATTTACAGGTGCTTCTTTCTTCTTTATAATGTTGCATGCCTCTATGTACATGACACCAGATGAGCAAGAGGCTGTAGAATTAGAGATGGATGAGGTTGTGTGATAGGAGGAATACCAACAATGATTCAGTCAGTACGCTACGGGTGGCATTATATGATAGTGTCAAACATTGGTTTATGGGAAAGTTACATTGGTTTTTACAGGATGTCACATCTAACTAATACTTTCATCTATAGAGCATTTATGTGCATTTCTACCATCTAGGGTATTACATCATGATTCAGTCAGAATACATACCATGTGGAGATTATAATACGCAGTAAACTTGGCAGAATTAGTTTCTCTTATAACTTCTTACTGTTCTTTATCATTTTTCATAGGGAATTTTTGATAGCTGGAAACATGCATTGTATAACCCATCAAAACAAGCAAACATCTGTTTTCACTTTGGGATATAAATGTTCATTCATTCTACTTCCACTTATTAAATGGGTTGTATATCCTTGTGTTTGTTTGTTTGTTCATCCATTTCAACGTCAGAACTGCAGCTACTATAAGCTGGACTCTGTATTCAAATTCTCACAGAAACTGTTGTGGTGTTGTTTTTCTCTTCTTTTTATTCAAATGATTTTTGGGTTTCTTTTTGTAATACAAATGGACTTTGATAAATCCTTAAATACAGTGGGTTTTTTTTGTTGTGTTTTTTTTTTTGGGGGGGGGGGGGGGTGTGTGTGGGGGGCTTTGTTATGAATTAGTGAGTTCTGCTTAGTTTTATGTTTTATGTTGTAATTTTATTTCAAATTTTCAAATAATGATTTCAGGATTACATGAATTTTGTGTTTCAAAATCTTTCTCAATGAGGTGATTTGTTAAAGCATTTTTTGAGAAAATATTATTTAACTATAGACTTATCACAGATTTGTTTTATCATGTCTTGTGTATCTGTATAATAACATAATATATTTTATCTCATTTTTGGGTAAATATTGCATGAAATGCAATCAAAACCCTATCGCACTGACTTGATACTATATCTTCCAAGGTTGATCACTACCTTTGAGTGTTCAAACAAAATAGTGCAGTGAAGGGATCATTATTTAGATCCTATCCAGTCAATGTCATGCAATTGATTGAAGATATGTTATACTTTGAAATTTAAGTTACAATATGATGTGTATTGAATAACAATACTTGTCAAGAAAACATTTTTTTACACAATTGATGCATGGTGTATGAATCTGTTATAAAAATAGTTTCAACTACAAATGTACAATCATGAACAAAGGAATATAACTCCAACTCAAATTTTTAACTTCTCTAGCAAAATACAATTCAATGCTTTATTTAAAAATTCAAAAATTGCAAAATGAAAGCAATCTTTACCCTTCATTGCTCACAAGCACTTTGATTATTGCAAGTTATCAAGCCAATTATAATTTGTCAAGAGCTGTTTAAAAAAATGTCCAATATTGAAATCCTGAATTGTACTGATGAAAGTCCTCCATATCTTATAAAGGTACCTGCAGCAAGCTAACAGTTGTGTTACTTGATCGTAGGTCCTTTCAAATTGTATTCACAAGTTGCAAAATAATAGATTAACAAAATTGGTATTTCTGCTAAGGGCTATTCCATTAAAATGTATGTGGGAGGGTAGGAAGGGAAGTTTAATTATTGAATGTTGGTCATGGGTCTTTTTTCAGTATGCGTCTATTACCATTATGCAAAATTATCTAAAAAATGGTTCTTGGTTGTCAGCACCAGTTTTGCATTTTTTTTTTTGTTTTTATTTCCATAAAAACATGATTACAAGTCACATAATCCTCATCACATCTTTTAATCAAAACTACTCAGAAGGTCAAAATTTTATTTTTTTGCTATTATTAGAATAAGTTGTTATTAAAGGTTTTATAATAGAAAGGTTAATGTTACTGTATTGATTTTATTCTATTCATAAGCTTGAGCTCAATTTCATATATTAAAGACAGAACAATAAATTGAAATGTACTTTATTGCCATAATACCTGAGGATTTTATGATGCTTTGATAAGTCATATATCATAGACTACCTCCTGTTAGCAATAAAAATAAACAATGGAAAAAGCAGATTTATAGGAGTTAAAGTAAATGCATTTGATATATTGGTTCAGTAAAAACAAAACTAATGAGGTTCCTGTTTAAAACATACACCTGATTTAAACGTACAGAGTATAGTTTCATGTCCTCTTTTTATAATATGTGAAAGAAAAATACTTCAAAAGTTGATTAGAAAAAGTATACTCTATACCTGTTATATATGTTTGTCTATGTTTACTTATGAAATAGAATTATATTATTATAAGATCTGTGATATGTTCGTGTATAAACTAAATTGTGTTCAAGAGGGATATAATAAATTATTTACATAGGTATACAAATTTGTTTATTTGTGTCTGATCTTACATTTATATGTTCATCTTTGTTTTCCTGTTGCTGCATAAAGAGCATACTGGTGGAATAATTTTTTTTAGACATCTGTACATTTGCAATTTCAGTTTCTTATTTGGATTTAAAATTGTAAGGAGTGTTGACTTAAAACTTACACCATTCCCCAACAATATATAATACTGTATTGTTTACAAAATTTACTCTACAAGCGTTTCTATTATCAAATAAAGGAACAACAGTAGAAGTTTATACAATCTAAACATGATTGTACGTTTTTCCAATTTCTGCTAACTGCAGGAGGCATTTTGGATAAAAAGCAAAGATTGGTCAGGATAATGATAGTATATAGTTTGTTGTGATAAGGGGCTCTATATGTAGATAGATTTCAGCCAGTTGGGGTCAATAGTTTGTTGACATAAGGGGCTATATATGTAGGTAGATTTCAGTCAGTCAGGATAAACAGTGTATTTCTGTCAGTTAGGGTCAATAGTTTGTTGACGTAGGATGCTCTATATGTAGAAAGATTTCAGCCAGTTAGGGTGATTAGTTTGAGATAATAGGCTATATATGATGATTTATTTCAGCCAGTTAGGGTCAATATTTTGCTGATATAAGGGTCTCCATATGTAGATGGATTTCAGTCAGTTAGGGTGAATAGTCTGAGATAAGGGGCTCTATATGGAGATAGATTTCAGCCAGCTAGGGTCAAAATAGTATGTTGTCATAAGTAGCTCTTTGTGTAGAAAGACAGCAGTCAGTCAGGGTTAATAGTTTGAGATTATGGGCTATATAAGTAGATATATTTCAGTCATTTAGGATCAAAAGTTCTTTGAGATAAGGGGCTCTATATGGAGATAGATTTCAGTCAGTTAGGAAAAATGATTTGTTGACATAAGATGCTCAAAATGAAGAAAGATTTCAGTCAGTTAGAGTGAATAGTTTGAGATAATGGGCTATATATGTAGATTAATTTCAGTCATTTAGGATCAAGAATTTGTTGGGACAAGAGGCTCTATATGTCGATAGATTTCAGCCAGTTAGGGTGAATAGTTTGAGATAATGAACTCTTTATGTAGATAATCAACATATTAAATTTCATTCAGGGTTAACAGTGTGTTGACATCAGGGTCTCTATATAGAGATAGATTTCAGCCAGTAAGGGTGAATAATTTGTTGATATGAGGAGCTCTATATGTAGATAGATTTCAGTCAGTAAAGGTGAATAGTATGATATAACAGGCTCTTTGTGTAGATAGATTTCAGTCAGGGTAAACAGTGTGTTGAGATAAGAGGCTCTATATGTGAATAGATTTCAGTCAGTCAGGGTCAATAGTTTGTTGATATAAGGGGCTATATGTGTAGATAGATTTCAGCCAGTTAGGGTGAATAGTTTGCGATAATGAACTGTTTATTTGGAAAGATTTCAGTCAGGGTAAACTGTGTTGCCATAAGGGACTCTATTTCGAGTTAGATTTCAGCCAGTTAGGGTCAATAGTATGTTTATGTAAGGGGCTCTATGTGTAGATATATTTCAGCCAGTTAGGATGAATAGTTTGAGATAAGGGGCTCTATATGCAGATAGATTTCAGCCAGATAAGATTAATAGTTTGCTGACATAAGGGGCTCTATATGGAGACAGATTTCAGTCAGTCAGGGTCAATAGTTTGCTGATATACGGAACTCTATATGGAGACAGATTTCAGTCAGTCAGGGTAGACAGTGTGTTGATATAAAGAGCTCTATATGTAGATATATTGGAGTCAGTTAGGGTCAATAGTTTGTTGACATTAGGGGCCCAATGTGTAGATATATTTCAGTCAATTAGAGTGAATAGATTGTTGAAGTAAGGACTATATTTGTAGATAGAGACGTCAGTTAGGGTCAAAAGTTTGTTGACATTAGGGGCCCAATGTGTAGATATATTTCAGTCAATTAGAGTGAATAGATTGTTGAAGTAAGGACTATATTTGTAGATAGAGAAGTCAGTTAGGGTCAAAAGTTTGTTGAAATAAGGGGCTTTGTATGTAGATATATTTCAGTAGGTAGGCGGCAATAGTTTGTTGTTATTATACCTCAGTATGTTTTTTCTATATAAAAAAGAATGAAATATTTGTGCTATTTCATTCCACAGGCTATTTGCCAGTCAATAGTTTCAAAGACTATTACCCCGGTCAATAGTTTTATAAACATATTTCTCTTACTTTTTCATACTAATTTTTCATTGAACAACAATGACGTCATCGACTATTCTGCTTGGATTTGTGCGCTTGGCAACGTTAAACTCTGAAATATCGTAAACGTTATAATCTGTATGTATCTGTCGTAATTTCAAATTAATATATTACTTACCAGAAAGCAATTGAAAAAGAAAATCTACGTGACATATTTTAAGAACTAAAACATGTAATGTATGGTATTGGTCTGTCGTCGTCTTCATAATCTGGGATTGCTTTGGTGTACGGTAAAATATTTTAGCTAATGGTGATCATATGCACGGCAATTTTTACACAAGGATTCCTGGTCTTGATTACAGTAAATAGATTATTGACAAATACCACACAGGGAAAAAAAACCTGATAGTTCATCTTGTAAAATTGAGAATGGAAATGGGGAATGTGTCAAAGAGACAACAACCCGACCATAGAACAGACAACAGCAGAAGGTCACCAACAGGTCTTCAATGCAGCGAGAAATTCCCGCACCCGGAGGCGTCCTTCAGCTGGCCCCTTAACAAATATATATACTAGTTCAGTGATAATGAACGCCATACTAAACTCCAAATTGTACACAAGAAACTAAAATTAAAAATAATACAAGACTAACAAAGGCTAGAGGCTCCTGACTTGGGACAGGCGCAAAAATGCGGCGGGGTTAAACATGTTTATGAGATCTCAACCCTCCTATACCTCTAGCCAATGTAGAAAAGTAAACGCATAACAATACGCACATTAAAATTCAGTTCAAGAGAAGTCCGAGTCTGATGTCAGAAGATGTAACCAAAGAAAATAAACAAAATGACAATAATACATAAATAACAACAGACTACTAGCAGTTAACTGACATGCCAGCTCCAGACTTCAATTAAACTGATTGAAAGATTATGTCTTCATCATATGAATATCAGGCACAATCCTTCCCGTTAGGGGTTTAGTATCATACCATCATAACATATATGAGAAGAACATAACCCGTGTCATGCCAACAACTGGTTTTTAAATAATTGTGTTTAGTGCCGATGCAAAGACCCTATAAGTGAATCAATATTAACG